ATCTATGAGCTGGTTGCACGGGACTTTTGGTGGCCTCACATGGATGACTACATCAAAGCTTTTGTTATCTCCTATGACACTTGCACCCAGAATAAGGTACCTCGCCACCTTCCTTCAGGTTTGCTTCGTTCCCTCCCGGTCCTTTCATGTCTTTGGGAATCCATCTTCATGGATTTCTTGAGTGATCTTCCGAGTTCTAGAGGCTTTAACAGCATTTTAGTTGTGGTGGATCGCTTCACAAAGATGGCGCACTTCCTGCCGTGTACCAAGGACTTTTCGGGCGAGGACATGGCAAAACTGGTATTCAGGGAAATTTTCCAACTTCATGGGATTCCTGCAGATGTGGTTTCGGATCGGGGACCTCAATTCATCTCTCATTTCTGGCAACAGTTCTTGCAGTTGCTTGGAGTGAAGGCCAACCTCTCTTCGACGTATCATCCTCAAACTGATGGACAGTCCGAGCAAATGATTCAGACGTTGGAACAATTCCTGAGATGCTTCATCAACTATCATCAGGATGACTGGTTCGATATCCTTCCCCTTGCTGAATTCTCTTACAACAATTCTGTTCACTCCTCCCTTCAAGTTTCCCCCTTCTTTGCGAACTCTGGCCAAAATCCCCGATTCAATCTCTCACTTCCTTCTCCATCCGAATCCTCTCATTCAAATCCCCGCTTTGAGGCATTTGTCTCCAACCTCCAGGAAATCCACAACTCCATCTCCTTCCACCTCCATCGTGCTCATGAATCTCACAAAACATTTGCCAATGTCCATCGTCAGGATTGTCCCCCTTACAATATCGAGGATAAAGTCTGGCTCCTCAGGTGAAATATCTCCACCACCAGGTCATGTCCCAAACTCGATTTCAAACGCCTTGGTCCTTTCCCTATCACTGCCATCATTAATCTTGTCACTTATCGCCTTGCACTTCCCTCCTCATATCACATTCACCCTGTTTTTCACTCCTCTCTCCTTGAGCCTTATATTCCCAGTCCTATTCCAAAATCAGGTCATTCCTCCACCTCCACCAGTGCAGCTCGAGGATGGGTCTGAGTACGAGGTTCAAAACATCCTTGATTCCAAGATCTCACGGTCTAAACTCTACTATCTGGTAGACTGAAAGGGTTACGGACCTAAGGAACGCACTTGGGAACCTACGGACAACCTGATTCATTCTCTTGACCTTGTTCAAGACTTCCACCGCCGCTATCCTTCTCATCCCAGTCCTCATTCTTTTTCTCCATCTCCCGTCCCATGCCGCCCATTTCATCCTCCTCTTTGTTCTCATTCACGTCCTTATTCCACTCATTCTTGAGGAGGGGGTGCTGTCAGAAATCCCCCAATTCTTGCCACATTCCTGAATCTCGACCTGCAGACCATATTCCTGATTCTTGAGACACTTCCCTATTCTTAACTCTCGAGACACTTCCCTATTCTTGACTCTCTGATTTCCCGTACGATTCCTGAGTCTCAAGCCACATTCCTAATGATGACATGGCGCCTCCTCGACCTCAGCTATATTTAGGCCGTCCTCGATCCAAGAGTGGTGGAGCTTCATCAACCTATAGTATATATAGGTTAGCCTTGTTCCATTTCTCCACAATCTGAATCAACACCAGTTTAAGGCATTTTCTTCGTTTCCACTAGCTTTTCTCTTTGTCTTCTGCATTTTCCAGTCTTGATTTTGTTAGGGGTCTTAACAATGTTGCTAACCAGGCACACTCAAGCTCTTTTGCATCAATACACCTCCAAGACCAATGTTAGAAGCATCCACATGCAAAATAAAAGGTCAAGTGTAGTCAAGATATGCCAAAACTGGAGGAATTTTCAATAGCTCTTTCAATAGCTCAATAGCTCTGAATGCTCACTCACAATCCGGAGACCAGATGAAAGATGATGTTGATGATTTCAACAATGCTCACAACAATGCAGTGCAATCAAAAAGATGATCCACAAAACAACTGAGATACTACACCTTGCCGAAGAAGCGTTGCACATCATTCACATATTTCGGAGTAGGGAACTTTAGAACAGCCACAAGTTTTTTAGGATCAACTTGCAAACCCTCACGAGAAATATGGTACCCAAAATAAGTAGTGTTTTTGGACCCAAACACACACTTCGATTGCTTCAAATTTAAACCAACATTGCATAGCCAATCCAACACTTTACAAACATCATGAACGTGCTCCTCCCACGTCCCCTCCAAGTGGATCAAAACATCATTAATGAAGTCAGCAGTCACCTTGGGCATATCACAAAGAACCTCATCCATCATCTGCTAAAAAGTTGCTAGAGCATTATTCAAACCAAACGGCATCACGAAGAATTTGTACAAACCAAATGATGTATGAAAAGTAGTCTTAAGAATATGTTCTTCGACCATCGGTATTTGCCAGTACCCAGAAGCAAGATCTAGCTTGGTGAACTAACAACTTCGCCCTAGACAATCCAAAAGATCAGCAATGTGAGGAAGAAGGTACACATCTGGGATCGTCACTTTGTTTAATGAACAATAGTCGATGCAAAACCAAATACTCCCATCAAGCTTCATCACAAGATGAGGTTCATATGCCTAAGGACTCTGTGACTTCCGAATAACACCCTTCTCCAACATCTCCTTGACATTTGCATGTAAAATCTTGATCTCCTTGGGTGACCGACAATGAACAGGAACCTTGATTGGACAAGCATCCCCAGTTGGAATCGGATGACGTGTGGCAATCTTGGCCCCGGACAATAGGTCAAATTCAAAGAGATCAAAATACTCTTTCATGAGCCGGTCAACCACTGAAACACAAAGATCATTAGAGGGATTGGAAAAGAGAAGAGAAAAATAAAACGGAAACATAGGAGGAAATAATAAGGGAACAAAAGTAATGGAAGCAAAAGTAGAAATAAAGGGACGAAGAGGTATGGAAGTGAGAAGAATGGATGAAACATAAGGAAGTATAAGACAAGGGGAAAAAGCCTCAAAGTCACACTTGGCATGATTGCGCTCAAACCAATCCATACCAAGAATGAGGTCAAAAGCTTGATTTGGCACCACCCGCAATAACTACAACTCAAACTCGAGATCACCCACACACATAACCAAGTCCACTTCATCCCGTGCACATGCATGTGTACGGCCGTTTTCCATAAAGAATGAAAATTGGTTCCACCGCACGACGCAAGTGTAGATGGCAACGTGTGGCAACAAGTCGAACAATAGAAGATAAATTCGAACCTGTATCAACCAATATGGAAAGAATAATAGGAGACCTCTTGTTATAAAAACGAGCTTGGAAAGTAAACATTGGATGAACCGGTGCCGAGTGAACCCCTTAATGATACTCTTGAAAGAAAGATAAAGGGGTCACTAACTTATTCGTGCAAGGTCCCTCCGTTACTCGCACAACTCCTCATTTCCCGGATGCAGCTTGGTGTCCAAATCTTCCACTACAGCAACACTAACGGGACGTTGCTAATGCCAAGGTTTCCAACTAGGAAATGGAGGTTGGCAATCCGGAAAACGCCGACAATGCCAATAAATATAACCAACTTCATCACACGTCTAGCAATGAACATCATGGCCATGACCACGTCCTCGCCCTTGTCTTTGGACTCGAGTAGAAGCAACATCAACCTCCATTGAAATGGGACCATCACCCATAGGAAGTGGAACTGAAGGACGTGTAGCAAGATGCAATGTTTCATAACATTGTGCCAAGCGAAGAGCATCGTCAAAGGTGGCGGGAGCAAGTGCATGCACAAGTTCGACAAGATCTTGACAAAGTGCTTGCCACAACATTCCTAGCTTGATCCGCTCCGACATATTTGGCTCCGCATAAAGCAAAAGACTTCGGAAACAAACACCAAATTGCATCATCGACTCAGATGGCCTTTGGCGAAGACGATGCAATTGTTGGAAGGCATCATCACAGTCATCGGGATGTCCAAAGGTGAGTTTGAAGATGTTCGGGAGAACACTCCAATCCCTATGAGTGGCTGCACTCAAACCATTGTACCACTGTAATGCCATCCCTTGAAGACACGTGAGAAACTCACGCAAATATCAAGCATCATCCCAAGAATGATATGTGGCAATCACTGTGAAGTGATTGAACCAATGGTACATATCATCCCCAAGATTCCCGTGAAAGAACTCTGGCCGAACGCGAGGATTGGCACCAAGAGCAGGAGGAGTTGTACCATGTGCCGTGAATGCCTCTATCAACTAAGTTTAGTTATTCAATTGCAAACGCATAGCATCAAGCAATTGTACTAACTGCTACTCCAGAGTCAAAGAAGGAGATTGCTGATCTGCCATGAAGACGAACGAAGAAAGAGCAAAAGAAGAGAAATGACAAAAAGCTAGAAGAAAATGGTAGATCTAGACAATGCAAAAAGCTAGATCTAAACCAAAATTCTGAAAGGAAAAAACAAAAGAAATGAAATGGAAAAAGCTAGATCTAAACAATGCAAAAGCTAGATCTAAACCAAAATCCCAAATGTGAGCACTCCTCAGTGACAATCAAAGGTGCCCTTCATCTTCACCAATATGAGTGTTTAGAATATGGAAAGGGAATACAGAAAATATGCATATAAATTAACCCAAAAACCCTAACTTATATACAGGAGCGAATGGTCCGGATTGAAATCAATCTAACAGTTACCAAAATCTATTATGCTAATATTAGTATATGGCATCATAGTCGTACACTTGGCCCTCACACTACAAAATTTCATATTTATATAAGTTTGAATTATTAATGAACTGAAAATGAGTAATTCTTCATTTTTTGCAAATTTCTTTCTCAAATCACTAAAAAGTCCCTTCTAAAAATTTACACACTCACACAATAGCAAAAGTAAAGTGGGCAAAATTTTTAAATGATGTAGCAATTTAGCCATGTAACATTATTTTATTTATGTATTTTACTAGGTTTAAAGTTGCATCCCCCATTTTGGGTGGGCTAGGGTTTAATTGAATAGTCTGGAGAATATACCTCGTAAATATTCGCCGAGCATCTAGCTAGCATAAGCCCTACACCCCGAGAGCAATGCAAGCTCTCGGCTATGGCGCCTCTCACTCTAGAGCATCCCCGACATTCCATCTCCCGGCGCCAGTGCTAGGTCGACCTTGCGGTACTGATTTTGTGGATAGATCGTTTGGCAGCGACGTCCAGAGGATAAATGCAGGCTCTAGGAGTAGATTTCGAGCTCGCCCTAGCGCGCAGCTGAGTAGTGACGACCAATCGGTGCCGGAGCAGTCGTGGAATCGAAGGCTGCGAGCCGCGCTGAGCAGATATTACGGGAATTTTGTCCAGGATCTAGAAACCGAGGCTGGGGTGGATGTAGAGAAGATTAAGGAGGTCGTGACTGCTCGGTACAAGGAATTACGCGAGAATGCGTCTCATGTCTTTGACAGAGCGGCGTCAACAGCGCAAGACGCTAGAGGAAGATTGGAAGTCGCTAGAAACGAAGGTGATGAGCTGCTCGAGGATTTCAGGCTTAAGGTATGGCCTCGAATCGTAGCCTGGCACCAATGGGAGCGATGGAAGGTATGATTTCTCTAGCAGATTGATGTTGATTCTCAAACCAGTATTGTTTTTGGTTTTGTTTCTCAGAAGTTGGATGCTCAACACATTGGAGCGCTTGTTCTTTACCTTCTACTGGTCATTGGTTCCTTCCGAGGTCTCTACGTAGCGGCAACCACACCTCGGCTAAGCAAAAGAGAGGCCAAGGAATTGACTGAAGCGTACTTGGAGGCCACGATTCCAGAACCAACGTTGGAAAACGTTCACAAGTAAGCTAGATTTGTCTCGAAGACGTCTTTTGATGGATCTGTTGTTTTGTTTGGAATAGGCTGGAGAAGCTTCAATGGCGAGAAAATATGCCTGGCGGTGTTCGCGTACGAAAGCATCTACTGCAACCCGATGGGAGTTATCGTCACGATTCTTCGTTCGTTGGAGAGCACGCTTGGGACGATGAAGCAGCGGCAGCGCAAGAATTGAACGAAAGCGCCGAAGGTCACGAAAACCGATATATCGATTCCCTCCTGATCTCCTTCCTTCGTTTCAGATACTGGAACCAACGAGAAGCTTACGTGGAGAGAAAGACTGACGAAACTAGAGGACATGCTTGAGAAAGAAAGCATCAAGGAAGACACTGATGCGTTAACAAGCAAGTATGTTGTCCTCCTGGACAGCGAGGAGATGGCCAAGGATATTGCTGAGAAAAAAGAAGAGCCGGTCATTCCTCCGCAATATGGGAGGGGTTTCTGGGCTGCCAGAAGGTGGTGGAAATACAGGCCGAAGATGCCGTACTTCGATTTTTTTGAGAAAGTGGAGAGAATGGAGGTAAGCATTAGCAAGGAAAGGATTGTTCTATAATGCTCCTAGTATTTTTTGCAGGTTCAAAGTGCCGTATTTAGCCAAGACCGGACTCGGTTGTTCGTGACAATGAAAGAAGGATTTCCTTCCGAGTTTGTGGTAAATATCAGCATTTAGCTATTCTCCTGAAACAGCCACATTGCAGGTAGATGCTCCAGCAGATCCTTATCTAAATGACGCGCTGCAAAGGTTTCAGGTGGAAGTGGATACAATTCCTGAGAGCGGGTTACGTAACATACTGCGTGCCTACGCTATTCTTCTCCCTTGTTTTTTCATTGCTTTGAAGCTGGACAATACAATTTTCAACATCCGGCGAAATGCATCTGAAAAGATCGTGGACCTTATCAAAATGAAATCATCAAGCATCGTTCTGGTATGGTTTAAACTCCAAACTTCAATTTCTTGGGATTATTCCTGAAAATTTGGACAGCCAGAACAAGCTGAAGAAGCCGGCTTCCCATCTTTCGATGATGTGATAGTAAGCCACACAGTGTGGAGGGTGGTGGAGGAAATCGGTAACTACTTGAGCGATCCAATGCGATATTATGATAAATTTTGTTTCATTCCTCGGGTAAGCAACGATAACATGTGTCTATGTAATGTTTTTAAGTCGTCCAGGGTATACTGATACATGGGCCTCCGGGTACTGGCAAGACTCATATCGCAAGGGCAATGGCGAGGGAACTTCAGCTCCCATTCATATTTGCCTCAGGCTCAGAGTTTGGAGATTCTGAAATCCCCGGTCCTAAAAAAGTGTTCGACCTCTTTTTTACTGCCAGGGCCAATGCAAGTATCCTTTCATTGCTGATGGGATTGAAGTAATTGACATGTGTAAGTTCTCAGGCACCTTCGATCGTCTTTATCGATGAGATTGATGCATTGGCGGGAAAGCAAGTCGATGAGGATCCGAGGAGGCTGAAAACTTTCAAACAACTTATAAAGGAGCTAGATGGCTTGTAAGGACCGATATCAGTGTCTAAAATGCTTACGTTTCATTTCCTTGAGACAGGGAGATCGACACGGAAGTACACAGATTTGCTCCGCGGCAGGCATTTATTTTGATATGTGCAACAAACCGTCGAGACGATCTGCACGAAGCATTTCTACAGCGTCAACGAATCGATCGCGAGATTCATGTGGGATTGCCCAAAGAAGCAGAGAGGCTAAGAATCTTCAAAGTACACACTGCAAAATACAAGCTAGCCGATGACGTAGACTTTGAAAAGGTAGCACGTCTCAGATTCTTATTGTCTGTCACTTACGCTTACGCAGGTTGTATACCGCACCAGAGGGTTTTCAGGGGCCGATCTCAAAAACTTTGCGAACGAGATTTTTGTTTATGCGGTATGCTTTTTTGTTTCTGATGTGCTGCTCTTCACCTGGTCCTGGTTTTGCAGAAGCAAAAAGGTCGCGCATACATTCAGCAAAGTGATCTTTTAGATGTTTTGGAGAAACAGCTGTTTGAAGGAATAGGCATGACAGTTACTCAGGAACAACAGAAAGAGTCGGAACTAAAGGTCAGTGTGAAATAATTCTTAGTTTCTACTTGCACTAATATCTTTTCAATTGTCAGGTGAAGCCGGAAACAAAAAGGCTACTGGCAGCTCATGAAGCTGGCCATGTTCTGCTAGCGCATCTTTTCCCTCGTTTCGATTGGCATGCGTTTACGCATTTGTTGCCTGGAGGCGCAGAGTCCTCGCTGTCCGTGTTTTACCCCTCAGAAGACATGCTTGAGTACGGTGGAACAATCGGATATTTCGAGGCCCAGATGATAGTGGCTCATGGGGGTCGTGGAGCAGAGATTCTCTTGCTTGGCGACAACATCACTGATGGATGGACTGACGACCTCGAAAAGATATCTGCGGTAATTGTGCTTCAAAATGCTCTATCTACTTCATTGAAAAATTTCTTTCCAGCTTGCAAGGGAATGTGCCGTGCACCCGGAAAATCGAAACCTAGGACTTTTGCAAGTAGCAAGGAAACCGCTTCCACCGCGTCCACGTCCTCGACCAGAAGAGCTCTACCCAATGACGGTACGTATTGTCTGTTTCCTAAGTTATCTTATGTGAGAATGCTGTTTTGACAGTGGAATCATCCCCGCTCCATCGTGATTCCGATGACTCTCGAGGTTTCAGAACTTGTAGGCAGAGAAATCCAAATGGTGAGTGATGACGAAACTTTTATTTCAAACCTTTCAAGCTTTTGGTGCTTGGCAGTTTATCGACGACACAGAAAAGATGGCCATGAAGGCGTTGCAAAACAATAGACACATCCTGGAGAGGCTAGCCCGTGAACTGGAGCTAAACATAAAAATGACGGGAGATGTAAGTTTCCTGGATTCGTTTTTGCTTGAATTCTTGACATCTTGCGAGCACAGGAAATCAAGGACATCGTGCATTCTATGAACCCGGTTTTACTGCCTGACATAGGCGGCCCACCTGATTTCTCGAAGGCTGTACCGATTGTAAGTTAATGACCCTGGATGGACTACACGTTTCTAAGCTATTTTTCGTGCAGGATCCAACTCCTGAGGAGATCCGTGACGGCTACTACCGGGATCTGGATGTCTATGCAGATCGATTACATCGCTGCTAGACCAAGGTTCGTCTTCTACTTCTCGACTTTGCATAGAATCAAATCAACACCGAATTGTATCTTAAAACTTGGAAGATTATCAAGTCCAGAATTTATAGAGGCTGTGTTGCATCAAGGAGCCACTCCGAGTGAACACCAGACAAATGAGGTCCCAGCTTCTCTCGGCAGCCAACATGGTACTCGTTGACCCATGCAATCTCTTCGGGTGACAGTAGCGACATGTCGATGAGCTTCCTCTGGAAAGGGACCTGAAAGACAGGAGAAAAGGATAAGAGCTGGAGAGCTCATGAAGAACACTCCATACCCAAGTGATGTGCTCGAAACAAAGGTAGCCTTTGTCTGAGAAATTATGTGCTGTTTGAGCTTCCTTGACAATGAGAACGTTTTCCAGTCGCACTCCAAACTTGCCATCTTCGTAGTATCCCGGCTCTGTGGAAGAGAAGCTCTTAGACGGTTGTGGTTTCTTATGTTAGCAAATACTTGCCGTCCGTTACGGTCATGGAAGCTTGCAATGGGACGTTTCGAGCCTGTGGCTTGAAGCTAATAAGATGAGGTCCTGTGCGAAGAATGCAAGTAAAACATTAGCTTGAAGAAATTCGCCATGGTAAGCGTTACCTTCGTGAACATTAAGATAGGAGCCAACACCGTGACCCGTCCCATGTCGATAGTCTAGTCCACTCTTCCATAGTGGAACCCGTGCCAATACGTCCAAAGCATGGCCTACAAACACATAACCATCAGGATTTGTTCGAACTAGTAACCGAATGCTAGATACCAGTTGTTCCATTTGGAAAAATGGCCGAATCCAACGCGATGTGTCCTTTTAAAACCTGGTAGCGAGATTATGAGAAGGAAAACAGAGAAGATGGGAGACACTAACCTGGGTATAGCAAGCCTTTTCATGCGGCGAAGGCTTGCCAAAATGCACGGTACGCGTGATATCTGTTGTTCCATCCAAGTACTAAAAGAAACTTGTCAAGACGTGGAAACGAGAACGTTATACCTGTCCTCCAGAGTCGCAGAGATAAATCGAGTCCGGGTCAAGCTCGGCACAGCTCTCGGGTTTTGCAGCGTAGTGAATGACAGCAGCGTTTGCTCCCACCGAGGAGATGGTTTCAAAGCTCAGTCCTCTGAAATGCTGACAGATCGAACACAATAAGATCACTAACTAAAAGACCATAGCACACATCGAACCTTTTGCGTCGAACGAAATTCTTCGAGCTTGTCACTTACAGAAATTTCTGTCAATTTCTCCACCTCTCTGAAAACAGAAGAGTTTAGCCGAGTGAAGTCAAGCACGTGAAACTTACGGTGATTTGCGTTTGAGAGATGTTTTTGTTTCTAGGAAGTAACCAGGGGCACCATAAATTTCCTGCATCTGTCCTAGAAACAAACACGATTTAGAGAAGAAAAAAAACATAGCGAAAGCATTTTTCTCTTAGACCTGGTTATCAAGCCAAGCGAAGAAAGACACCACTGCAACTCCGTCACGAACATGAGAGTTTCGAAGACCTTCAAGCTCTGCAGGATGCTGTACCCATGTTGTAGCTCAAATAACTCTGTTTTCTGGAAAAATAAATAAAATTTCTCTGACCTTCAATGCTTTGGACAGAGCTATTGGCGATTGCTGCAACAACAATTCGTCGGCTGAAATGTCGGGGTACAGCTTGAGAGGGCAGGAGTTCGGATCTATCCATATTAGACCTTTCCCATCATTTACTTCTTCGGGACGGGAAACTAACGCATCAAGGTCCTGTACAACCTCCTCATAGTCTTTGATCACCACTTGGTTTTCCGTCAAAAATCTCTCAACCTGCAGAAACTATATCAGCAAAAGGAACAAAAGAGATAGACGAAATGATACCTCCGTAGTTATTTTGTGCTTATCAACATAATAGAACGCAGAATCGAGAGTGACAATCGCATAGGCATGGACAACAGGATTGTACATGACATCGGAGCCTCTCAAATTAAAAAGCCAAGCAACCTACAGCAACGGAACAAAAAAGATGATTTTTTGTGAAAGGAGAAAGAGGGAGACGAAGGTACCTCATCAAGTGTCGAAACAACGAGAGCAAAGGCTCTCTCCTGAGAAAGTTTCCCACGAATATCAGCAAGCTTCTCTGCAACACTCCGCCCGGCAAACTCGAGCGGCTGGATGGTCACAGGAGAAACCGGTTGCGCGGGACGGTCCTTCCAGATCTCGTCGACAAGGTTGCGCTCGGTCTTCACCAGCTCAATTCCTTTCTTAGCGAACGCCTCCCTCCACCTCTTTGCATTAGAGACGGAGACACACCAAGCGTCCACTCCAACGGAAGCATTGCTTTCCAGGTTCTGAAACAAAGAGTGTGGCATCGAAGTTCTTTCCAAGATCTCCATGAAGAACTCACATCGGCCAGCCAGCTTTCCACGACTGGATCCTCTCCAATTCGCATCAGCTTCCACCGCTCGCTGAGCTGCTGCGTGGCCTGAAGGAAGTAGCGGCCATCGGTCCACAGCAATGCCTCGTTCTTGGTAATGACGGCCAGGCCTGTGTAGAAAAAAGGAAAATCCAATCCACGCGAGTGTTTGATTGGAAACACGTGGAAATCGAGATCACTCTTACCGGCGCTGCCGCTGAACCCCGACACGAATTCCCGCCGCTTGTCCCTGTCCGCGACGTACTCGCTCTGGAGAATGAAATGGACGATTGAAGAAGAATGCGAAGAGAATCGAGAGAGCCGACCTGGTGAGCGTCCTCGGATGGAACGATGAGTGCGTCCAGGGGCGGATCGCGGGACGCCATGAGCGGCCGGAGCGCGTCCAACGGATCCATCACCGCAAACCCACCCTAAACCCAGGGTTCACTTTCCAGCCGTATATTCTTGTAGATTATAAACTATAGCTGTGATCGCACAATAGCTCGTTCATGACAAGAACTTAGACCAAACTACACAACACCCGAATCTGGTAAGATGATTTGTGTTCGTAGTTTTGGTGTAGGTTTTTTTGTAGTGCCACATTATCATTGCTTCCAGAAAGGCACATTTTCCCCTTTGTATGTTTGTTTGACCGTGTCACTGCGTTGTTTGAGCACAAGTATGGCATTTGACACTTATTTTCAGTTGTTTATTATCCAGTTCGTTGAATATCAAGAATTTTGGTAAGAACAAATACTTGATGAACCTAGAATCCTTAAGGGTTTTGGCTAAAATAATAGTGTTTAGTGTTATGGGTGATTACTGAAATGAAAAAAAAAAAGTTTATAACCAAAAATTAACATGGTTGGCTTTCAGCTCACGAAATAAATATCTTCTTGTTGATTCGGAAGAGGGACACATCACCTATATATTGCCAGGGTTGAGCTGAAGACACTATGCTATTCCTGATAGTGAAGTGCGGGGCGTAGGCTTTTGGATGAAACATGATGTGATCCCCTGACGTTACGAGGGTACAATCGTCTCTACCCAACATGCTAACATATGAGATGACCTCAAGCTCTTCTCCTTGTGTCATGTATGCATAACCCTTGTTAAAATCACTGTAACGCCACCGATTGCTGAAGAGGCCAAATAATGAGTACAACCATGTTCTCTTCTGGAAGACGTAGAGCTTCATGAACTTAGTCAAGTGCAAAAAAGCTTGATCATACCCTCGGTATAATGGAGTTCTAAAAAAGTCGATGAGAAGCAAGAGCAAAGATGCTAAACTCGAAGCCCCGCTTAGTTTCCTAGCCTGAAGAATTAGGGGTATGGTCGCCAGGAACCCAGAGAGTTTTGAGTTGTACTCCATCATGTTGAACTCTCTTCCGTATATAACAGTCCTTTCCTCCACCGGGTAAAAGTGCATATCCCTGTTGAACATCATGAGCATGGCCTCCTCCTCGCTGATTTGTTGCGCAACCGAGTACTTCTGGTCAAGATGATAGAGATCCTTGACGAAGACACACTCGCTGAGCTTGTATACGGACACCTCAAAGAAGACATCCTGGTGCACCCAGTAATACTTGTGGTTGTACTCTACTTGGTACCAGCAGTCCTCGAAACTTAGATAGTGGATGCCATTGTCTTGCTTGCCAAGCATACGCTCCTTGAATTCCTGCCAATCTTTATATGGACCATATGGCCTTCGAAGTGATTCCAATGCTTGGTAATCCTTGTTGACCCAAATGATCCTCTTCTTTGGAGTTCCGCCACTAGTCAAGAGCCACTGCAGTCCATAGTAGCACAGGTTGAAGCCTTTTGTGTTCCTCACTGCTTGCCAGAATGCATAAACCCATTGCAGCACAAGGAACCAGATCGACGAGCTGAAATTGTGGAACTTCGTCATACAAGCCCTGCAAAATGCCCCTTCAGCAACTAGGGATTTTGAGAGTGGGGATTCGTAACATGTTTCCAACCCGTACAAAAAGAACTGATACCAGTATCACTTATAGCATCCAATAGTTCTAGACTTTCACTTTACACCATGGCATGAAGTAAAAGAGTAGTCCTATGCTTTCAAAATAAATTAGAAAAATTGGAAGTTAACAATAAAGGTAAAATTCGAAAATACAAGTAAAAAATAAGTTTGTAACTTATGCTCAATGGAACTTGGAGCAATCTCCTTGATTTGTGTGCGTACCATCCAGGGGTGGTGCTCTTGACCTTGTTTGGCTTGCGCAACTGCAACTTCAAAGGTCTTATGGCAGCAAGATCATGCTGCCCACCATCTCATACCACCAAGAGGATGTTGTGCACAGCCTCTCCAAATAATCTCTCTCCTAGCTTCTCAGCCATGACAAAAATGGCCTCCATCTTTCTCCTACACTCCCCCAAGAAGTTGGTGGGTTATTTCTTGCGCTAGGATTCTTTCCTGGCCACTCCAACTCATTAGAGACCTCTCCCAGCAATTCTACTATACCTGGAATCACTGTGTTTCCACAGTCGATAACGAGCAACTCAATGATTCCCTCACAACACTACAAAGCTGGGCTGAGCTTGGAATTCTCTCCAAATTTCTTCCAACACATACGTCTTCAACTGGATTGAAGTTCTGAAGTCGCAGATGCCCAACGTTGTTTCTCATCTCGCAGGTCTTGCGTTGAGCGCAGCAGCAACGTCGCTGACAATCTCTCCAAAATGTTGACACAGAATCTCTCCAATCTCGTAGCATTTTTTTTCTTGGACACAGCGTTTTTTAGTTCTTATCGTGGTTGAGCAGCACCAACATGTCACTTGTCTTTTTCATGACAAGAAATTAGAACAAATTGAAACACACACAAACCTGACAACATCAAGCTAAGTATGTCAACTTCCAATGATCGTTAGTTTTGTTCGTATTCACAAGTTTCCCTTCCCGTTGAAAGTTTCTTGGGCCGTTGTTTTGCGCTTAGTTTGTTTGAGTTGTTTGAGCATATCATCTTAGCTTGACTGTGTCACTGGCTCCTTTTTGCGTTGAGCATACCCCGTCGACAATCTCAATCGAAAAGAAAGAGCGTCTTCAAACGTTGAGAGCTTCAACAAATTCTTGATTGCTTCTAGCCTCTCTTTTATCGTTGATCATTCTAGACCATATTTCTTGTCTCCAGCAAATCTCTCTTGTTTCGTTGTCTTACTCGCTTAACACAAAGAAAACTGAACGAACTTACCTTGCGAGGTGGAGAGGTGCGAGAGTGGACCGGGCCTGTCAAGGATCAGCGACGGATCATGATCGTTGTTTTCATTGAGGTTGGACCATTGTCATGTACATTTCAACAAACATTTTGGTTAGAACAAACAGCTCACGAACCTGTTAAACTTCGACTTCCATATCGTTGGACAGCCAGTGTTTTCATGATCGTTGTTTTCGTTGAGGTTGGACCATTGTCATGTACGTCTTCAACTGGATTGAAGTTTTGAAGATTGCAGATGCCCGATGTTGTTTCTCAGCTCGCAGGTCTTGCGTTGAGCAGCAGCAACATCGCTGACAATCTCTACAAAATGTTGACATGGAATCTCTCCAATCTCGTAGCATTTTTCTTCTTGGACACAGCGTTTTTTAGTTCTTATCATGGTTCAGCAGCACCAACATGTCACTTGTCTTTTTCATGACAAGAACTTAGAACAAATTGAAACACACACAAACCTGACAACAAGTTTCCCTTCGTGTTGAGAGTTCCTTGGACCGTTGTTTTGCACTTAGCTTGTTTGAGTTGTTTGATCAAGCATATCATATTGTGTGCGTTGAGCATAGCATCGAAAAGAAAGAGCGTCTTCAAACGTTGAGAGTTTCAACACGAATTCTTAGCTCGTTGCAAGCAGCTTCGCTTTCTTGTCTCCAGCAAATCTCTCTTGTTACTCTAAACGAACTTACCTTGCGAGGTGGGACTTGATCCGTCGCTGATCCTTGACCGGCCCTGATCGTTGTTTTCATTGAGGTTGGACCATTGTCATGTAGGACTTCAGCTGGATTTAAGTTCTGAAGATCGCAGTTTCCCAACGTTGTTTCTCAGCTCGCGGGTCTTGCGTTGAGCGCAGCAACAACACAACTCAAAGCTCCGAAACGTTGACACAAAATCTCTCCAATCTAGTAGCATTTTTCTTCTTGGCACACACTGTGACATGGGAGTTTTTCAGTTCTTATCGTCGTTGAGCAGCACCAGCATGTCACTTGGCTTCTTCATGACAAGAAATTAGAACAAATCGAAACACACGCGAACCTGGCAACGTGAAACTAAGTATCGTTGATCATTAGTTTTGTTCGTATTCAAACAGCTCCCTTCGCGTTGAGAGTTCCTTGGCCCGTTGTCTTGCACTTTGCTTGTTTGAGTTGTTTGTTGTGTCACTGGCTCCCTTTTGCGTTGCAATCGAAAAGAGGTGTCTTCAAGCGTTGAGAGTTTCAACAAGCATACCTCTTAGCTCGTTGCAAGCAGCTTCGCTTTCCAAATCTGTCTTACTCCTAACGCAAAGAAAAGCCCTACCTAAACGAACTTACCTTGCGAGGGTGGAGAGAGGCGAAGCGGCCTACCTGGAGCTCCGATCAATGGGCAGAGTGGAAGGGTCGCGAAACCCCAAGACGCGGCATCCATCACTGCCCTAGCCCTTTATCACCGATGAGCCCTAAACTTGAGCTAAGTACTGTTTTATATAGACAGGGCAAAAAGGGGAAGTTCTCAATTAGTGCAAAACGAAGAATCTTACGAGCTACTTAATTATTCGAGGAATCCTGCTGATCGGAGCCTGCTGGTTGGCTCTTCCGTGCTGCTGTTGCCAGCACGGGAAGCTTCTGGATCTCAGCCGGCGATAACATCCGTATGCATCGCACCGTCGTGTTAAACAAACACAACATGAAATGCGTCTCCGACGAGCAGCATGTCGCCTTCATTATCTACGTACACGGCTTGCCACGTTCAGGTTCTCGTCAATGCCGAACAGATGCTGCAGCTCCTCCAGGAGTTGCGTGTTGCATGTATAATCCCCAAAACTTGGACAAGTCCAAAGCTCACCCTGTTTGTGAACTTTTGAAAAGTAGAAGATTCAGAGTCTGGCGCTTCAAATAAAGAATGAGATCTTACTTTGGTGCACGTCCTGCTTGGTTGCTGTTGTTGCTGCTGCTGGTTCCAGTTCTGGCCAGTAAAACACTTCCTGAAGCCGGAAGTTTCCAACTCGAGATCCTTGTGGACGTCGTCTTTGGCGGTGCTGGCCAAAGCTGTCTTTGGTTTCAACGAGACGAGAAACCAAATAGTTTGCACTTGCGGTGAGAATCGTTTGCATTACCTCTCGCAAGGGGCTCCTCACCTCCTGAAAGAACAAAAAAGAGTAGAAAAAAAGTATTACATAAGAAGTGATGACGGATTTCACTTACTGTGAGCCATGAGAAGCTTAAGAAAAGAGTTGTCTGTTGTCGTTGAGGCTGCAAGTAGACTGGGCAACTTAATGCTGCTTGCCAATAAGCGAAGCTGCTGGTTGGAGAAGGCTGCTGCAGTCTCTAGAATTGTGGAGGAACCTTCTGCTCTCGAAACTCGCCAGCAAAGCCGGCGCCACATCCAATCCTCACAACATCTTTCTGCCGCAAAGGATTCTCCCTCTGAAAGAAAAGAGGATCGAACGCACGATTCGAGCTACTTGCTACTCACCAGCGTCACTGTGCTCTCGGACGATGGATCGGCGTGGAGCTCAAACACGCGATCGTTGCCAGTGGCCATCTGCTGCTGGTGCATATCGACTTTATGATGAGATGGTAGCCCCTCGTTTCCGGGACTTGGAAATCCAGAAGGAAAACCAGGAACACTATGACCCTCACTAACTCTTGGAGTTATCTTAGCCTCAGAATAGAGAGCTGTAGGGAAATTTTTCCCTTGGCCTCACATTGGGAGCAATAAATGGCTCTATCTCCTGTCTTTTGCTAGCCGCGTGCTTGTCCCAACCGACCTATATAGAAGACAAGACTCTTTACCTTTAGGAAGCGCCATTTAGAGCCATCGAGCTGCATCGATATCGTCAATTCCAGTAATAGTTCCCATATATCTGACTGTTAGCAAAAGGAGACAAAACAAGAGATTCACTTCATAACGATTTACCTTCTTTCCGACGAATCCTCAGTCTCAAATCTCATTGAAGCGCATACCAATCAAAATTTTCATCTTGAAAGATTTCACGTACTTGTGGTATGGAACAACAAATTCAGCTGGACTCCCTGAAGAGAAACAAATTCACCACTTTGCCGTGTTAAATCTAAAGAATGTCAAACGAGGATTGTAGAACACGGTGAACATGATCTTAGTGGAGACAACATGAGCAGCAGCAGCCAGGAATCTGATTTGCATACTGTGGCTAGACAGTAGCGAAGACGAAGTGAAACTGCTCTGCGTGCGCACAGCACACCCAATACCGATTCTCAACTCACCATGATCTCCCCTACGTGCTACGTAATATTATTACGGTATGAAAAACAGATCAAAAGGCTTGAAAATTTTATAATGACCAACAGTATCGGCTTCTTCTGGCTTACAAACACACTCCACCCTGTCGTCGAAAGATGCCTTCGTGGTTGTCCTGGATACGAGCAGGATTTTGTAAGAAAGTATCTTAGATTGCTTCCTACAAAAGAGATTGCTCACAGAGAACACTCTTCTTTCCTTGTTCTGAAGACCTGAAGGTCATGGTTGTTCCTGCCCTCCATCACTTTTATTGTCTAAGCCATGATGTTTATGATGCCCACCATCTCCCAAGATCTTGAACTGTTTCTGCCATCTACCTGCTTCGCTGGTGATCTTCCCAAGAAAGATTGCTTCGCTCCTGGATCAACTGTTCTCCAGGACATGTCTACTGAATCCGAATGGATCGGACAGAAAGGACGAGCGAAGAGCGAAAACCTCAGTATAAAGGGGAAGAACTTTCATCATCACCACAAGGTGGATTTTTTGCGAACTTTCTTTAGCTTTTGAATGAGGATTTGTTGCTTCACGGCTCCTGCCTTTCTCGCCTTGACTTCTTCCTGAGAATCGCCGGAGTTAGATTCATATGATCGTGTGGAGATATTTACCTTCAACACGGCCTGGCACTCAGCGATTTTAGAGTAAGCAAGCGCGAGATCGGCCACCTTTCTATGCACCATTCCCTCGTACTGGGCAAGATTTTGCTGGAGAGTTTCGACTTTGCATCGCTCGCTGGTGAGCTCCTTTTGCAGCGCAAGTCCATCAACAGCTGAGAACGAAACTTTCAGCTAAGGGAGAAGAAATAAAATAAATCTAGCAAAGCGATACCTGCACCGTTTTCCAGGTAAACCACGCCTCCAAGAGTTCCATACTCGTGTATACCCCCAACTATAACAAAGCGCTGTCCCATAGAAACCATGGCGTGCATGGACCTCCCATAGATTTCGGTGTCTCTGCCGGAGGAAGAACTTTTCAAGATCTTCCAGCGTTTCCAGAAGGAGGTCTCTGTATCGAAGCTGTAAACGTCGTCAAGGTACGTAACGCCATTGTATCCCCCGTAAAGCACCAGATTCTTCCCAACAGCCGCCATTGCATGGTGTCTCCTTGCTGTGGGAGCCTCTCCAAAGTGCTCCACTTGGTTCCACTCCATCGTCCCCAGATCGAGCGTATAAAAGTCTCCAAAGTTGGTCTTCCCGTCGTAGCCTCCAAAAACGTACATCTTAGTCCCGATTATCACTGCTTCATGCCCCCGACGAGGTGCTGGAGGATCCCGATAGTAGTCCGGCAAGTGCCAATCCATCCACCGCAAGTCTAGCATCCATAGCTCGTTCAAGTGTCCCACGTTTGAGCGGTATCCACCAAAAACAATCATATGGTTGTCGTCACTGCTCACGCAGCTCGTGTGCTGTGACATTGGGCCTGGAACAATTCCCACACGGTACTCTGGCTGTGACAACTCACAGGAATCTACGATACACAAAGTTTGTAAGCAAGAAAAAACTGAAGCTGGTGCTTACTTCCATCTTCCGAAAACTCGAGGATGAATAAGTCCGAAGAATCCTCGGCTCCGTTGAATCCGCCGAAGAATATGATCTTGTTGTTGCGTACGCAGGCTGTGTGATGCTGAACCGATCGGAATGACTCTTCGGCGATATTAAGCTTGAGCTCTGGTATTCTCCACATTGATTCGTCTGGAAGTTATAATTGTCACAGAAACTTGATGTTTGAAGCTCTGGAAGCATACCTGCGTGATAGACTAAGATGTCCTTGAGAAGGGACTGCCCATCGTAGCCTCCAGTCACTACCAGGTGAGATGGCAATGGCGAGCGAGACGTCAAGCACAAAGAAACAGCAGTGTGACCAACACGAGGACTTGGGAGAGTTCCACTGGGACTTCTTGAAGCGCTCCAACGTAGATCAGCTGGAAAAGACAACTTAACTTGAAAAACTTTAAAACCATATGCGGCAGCAGCATACCGTTTAAAAACCCGGAAGTCCATGGAGGTGCTCTGGCCGTAACGATATCCATACAATGGACCATCGTGGCTTTTTCTTTCTCCAAACTTGTGATCGTCTTTGACATCACGGCTTGAATCATCTGAGCATTTTGAAGGTCTTCCTGAGAAAGTTCTAGCCGAGCTTGCAAGACTCTACCATCTTTCAAAAGTGCCGCTCTCCTGAAAAGTGTCGACAGAAAATTCACGTAGGCAAGTTATGGAGCGCAAGAACCTGCAATCTGCTACGAAAGATAACCATTGCTGGAAATTATCTTTCAGTTGCCTGTTTTGAGATCTGTTTGCTATATTTTGTAGATTTTGCCGACATACTTTGTGATTCTGTGATGTAAGAAACCACACCTTCAGAACAGCCAATCTGCAAGACATATTCATAAACGACACTCTCAACTGAAAGCCAGAAGAACACCTTATTCTGGATGAATGTCGAGATTTTAAACGCAATAGCAGGCGTCCTCGAGTCCACAGATACTTCAACCAGTCGAAGGCGCGAAGTCTCAACTCTAGCTGCTGCTTCACCACCATCGCCTTTCTCCAGATGCTAACTTCTCTTTTGTTTTTGGCGTGCTGCCTCCACCCAATAAACGTGAAAAGAAGTATCCTTTTCGTCCGGGTGTCGATAGCTTTTGTCAAGCGCCTTTGTACCACAGCTCCGACGTGAGCTATTCCCAGCCAGCCTCTAAATGACTTGTGGAGAAGTTCTGACATCCTGTGCTGCTCCATCCGCAAGACTTGAGCTCTCTCAAAGACGCTCTCCCCCGCATTCGTACTCCATGTCTCCAGACTTCTCGCCAACAGTCTCAGCTTGGAAAACTCGGTAGCCTCGTAAGCATTTGCACGAGCTGAATCAGCGTCGCTTCTCCAGCTTCGCCACGACTTTTGAAGCCTGTGCTGGACAAAGAATGTTCTGGCTCTGCGCTCTAGGCACGATTTCACTGACAGAGTTCCCTTGAACAGCTTCCAGGCTCCAAAAGCCATCCTTGCTATCCGAGATCTCTGAAGTACCATGAAAACTGCAAGCCTGTCGGATGAACACTTCTTCAAATGGACGGTGAGCAGCCAGAACTCGAAAGTTTGCAGCAAGATCGTTCTCGTCCAGTGCTTCCCAGCAATAGCCACAAGCTTCTTGGTGGAGAGAGACTTGGCACGTCTGGAAGCAAGCGAAGAGAACGACTTTCTCAGTATACGACGGTCCCATAATGCTTCAACCTTCCTAAGAGTCTGCAAAAAGACGATCAATCATCATCGAAAACGTTTTAGACAGTCGACCTTGCCTTGGATTTTCTCGCATGCATGACGAGACGTTGCCAGGAAGATATTACTGCATGAAGCCGCCGAGATTGCGAGATACGCTGCGCTTGCATTACGAGGGATCCTTGCATTGCTCGAACTTGTGCATAGAGCCGCATGCACTCTTTTCCTCGAACAAAACCTTCTTCAACGAGCTCGTTCTCTCGCTCCGTTTCCTCCGCTCTCTTTTCCTTGGACTGTACATAGCTGATCAGAGAACTTGGAGCCAAATTAAGTTTGCGAGAGAAAAGAGAGAGAAAGGAAAGACGTATTACCTTGAGCAAGTTTTGCAGTTGCCGGTTACGGTGCTCAAGCTCTAGCAAGGCCTCATTCTTTTGCCTTTCCCATCCGGATGGAAAATCCCGAGACAAAATTTTCCCATGCTTCTGCTCCTTAAGATTGTCTGTAGTAGCACTCCGACCCATATTCTTTCGAGACTCCATTTCAAACGCACTGTGAATCGCCTCAAGAATGCTGTGATGCATCTTCTCGACCTGGGAAGACACGCCATCCCCGCCCTCCTACAATACAGAGAAGCGAAAAATCTGAGAGAAGGCCCAAGCCCAAGCGCCAGACCTTGGTAGCTTCCAACAGCTTGGCTTCCAAGCATTTGTTCTTCCTGTCCAGCTCCAAAATCGCGACATTCTTCTCGCGCTCCCAGTGCGATCCCAAATCCTACACAAAGTAGAGAAAAGCCGTCGCCCAGAGATCGACCGTATAATTTTACCATTCCTCCGCCAAGAAATCGCTTTCAAAAACTTAGGGCTTAACAGCTCCAAATAACATATTCGCAGAATCTAGTTATGAAAAGCTAAAATCTAAAATAAATAACGTGCTGCCGTCTTAGCTCAGCCGGTAGAGCGCGTGGCTTTTAACCACGTGGTCGTGGGTTCGATTCCCACAGACGGCGTAATTAACGCTTTGATAACCTGCTTATTTATCTTAATTTTCCTCTCTTTTTTTCTTGAATCTAGCTCGCATTATCATTCCTCCAGAAGTTCGTTCGCATCATTCTCTTCAATACGCCTTCTTGTTGGTCTTGTTGCTGAGCCGCTGTGGATGCCTGCTGGATATTCGAGGGGCTGGACGGCTCAGAGCTAACGGCGGGCTTCGATGTCGTGGGGCTGGCCATTGGATCGCCGAAAAAGCTCGTCATTGCCATGGACGACATGTTGAGGTGAGCTCCCATCACCACCTTGGTGATGGCTTCGAACTTCCCACCCGACCTCTCCCGCATTATAACTTCCAGCGCTTCCTTGTGGGCCGGATCAAGCAGCTCGGGATCACGCAGCAAGTTCTGGATTGTTGGCAGCAGTAGCTCCCGAATGCTGGTAGGAGATAAATCTGTTCCACAAGTTTCGCCTCTGTTGGAGCTTGAGATAAGCAAGACGGCATTACCTGTGGCATCCAAAGACCGGATGGCCTCGCAAAACACGTCGGCTCTCTCACGTCGGCGTGCTACATTGGTTCCCATGGGGCTCGCCGTAAGAACCACCAGCTTTTGCAGCAAATGTACGGAAGCGTTCGTCAAGAAAAACTCGCAAGCGACGGATGGTGTAGTCACAAATAAAAAAGGATATAGTCCCTCAAAACAGGGGAAGCCAGTGGCACCGCGACTGTCAATGCACGAACCACTCCAGATATGGCTTCGTTGGATCCATCGTCTAAAAACGCATCCATTTGCACGCGGATCTTCTCACTAACCTGAAAATAAAGCCAGAAATATCAGATTTTGGATCAATACATTTATAAGTACCATTTCATCTTGGAAATGCTGAGCAATGATTCCATATGCAGGTATTGTTGTGTGCCTGACTTCAAGGTTCGTGTCCGAGCCAAGAGTGACTAACGCAGGTAACAACTGCTTTGAAACTAGTTGAGTGCTTGCATAGGGAACCTGAACAGGATGTTAAGGCTTGTAAAATGTATGACGATAACAGACCATTTCCCTGAGAAGAAGAGCGGCATGAACTTTGACGCTGACATTTGAGTTCACAACAAGCTCCCAAAGAACACCGGTCATAACCTCGTGATGGCGATCATAAGAACTTTAAGATCCAGAATAGTTAGTGCTTTTCTCGGGGCATACGTAACCTTACCAAAAGAATCGGATGGCTTCTACAAGTTCGGGAGTGCGAACGCAGCTCCACGACCCGTGCTTTAGCGAAGAATCCAGTATCAAGTTCTTTATAAACCCTTGCAAATCAAAGTCGAGCGCATTTGGTATCCCCAAAACTCCAACCAAGAGAAGAGGTAGGATGCACTTGAAGGCCAAAGTTTGAGCTGTTTCCGTTTGAGGCTTTAGCCCTGCGTAAAGCAATATAGACTTCATGCACAAACTACTAAACAGGTTCCTCACCTTCGATTCTGTTTGAAATGTTTGATCCAAGAAAATGCAACAACGAGTCATCACCAACTGCTGTTAGAAATATCGGTCGCAGAACCATGGTATGAAAGTGGCTGCCGAAACAATCGTTGAAGCGTAAAAGAAGCTGTTAAGGAATTCACAAAGAAGTGAACATCTAAAGAACCAAGAGTCGGTTCACCTGACATATGATTTTTCGTAAAGCCTCCTCTTTAGGAGAAATCATAGAAAGAAGCTTCAACAGTATGGGGAAAAAGTCCATGGCTAACCAGTCAAAATACTCCCATCGCGTACTCGATCTGCATAAGAAGTTGAATTAGCGCCTTATTGCATTGGAATTTGTGTCCCTTACTGTAAGTGTTGCGTCAAGTTTTCAGGAGAAAATGCCAGTGTTTGATCAGATTCACTGATAGGAAATGGACAGCTATGGACGCATGCATAACGCAAATCTGGAACAAGCTGTATCAACATGCGCAGCAATACTTCAACATTCCATCCTTCCCTTTCGCGTAAAATTCGTAGCTGAGAATCAGATGACGTCTCGACGCCTGACACAGGAGGGCAGCGCTGCAACAATGCACAAAAAACTTAAGCCGCGGAGAATACAATGTGTATTACCTGAACAATAGTTAGCATACGACCAAAAAGAGCCTGAACCAGCTGTTTCATTGAATATCTCAGACATCTGGTCCACGTCACAACCGCTGGTACAAGCGCCTTCAGTGTCGTTTCGACAACTTGGGCCGAGGAATCCGAAAGCAGATGAAACATCATCTTCTCGACCTGGCAAAAACGAATACTTTAGCAACACCCCCAAGCAAGATACAACTAACGCTTACTTCAAGAAACTGAGACGACAAGACTGCTCCATGACATCGAGCTGACCTTGGTATATTTGTCCGTGTTGGGAAATAGTGGCAGTAGCTTCGCCAAATTCGTTGAAGCCGCCTCTCTCACAACAGGTGCTGGGTCCTCAATTAGTTGCTCTAGGATTGAAAGGATCAACGATGAGCGCATATCGGACCTTACAAATCCTCCTAGTTCTCCACAGGACTGTGCCACGAGCAACCGTCGCTCTTCGTAGTTGTGGTTAATCTGCATAACCTTGATTAGCAGCGCGCTTGAACAAATAACGTTCACACCTGTTCCCAGCATTGAGGAAGCAGCTCATTTTCCGTACGAATGTCCCCGATAGATGTTGATAAGGAAATACACGCCTGGAAACAGAGTAGTCAGAATTCCCAAACTGAGGTGTTAGCTTACATCCATGATGATCCTTCTTTGATTTTCATCCGGTCGTTTTATCAGGTTGAACAGTATGTGAGTGAGAGAGTCTCGGACATTGCCATCGGGATGTCGTCCAATCGCGCATATCATAAGAGGTAAGAGTTCCTTACAATGCCAGCAAAACGTTTCACGCTAGTCTTTGATAAAACTTCCAGTAATACCTCACGGTGATTGATGAGTACGTAAGGCACGATGTTCGGAAGAGCTTCCGCCAGTATGTGAATAGTTTCCGGATCCTAAAACATCGTCTATAAGATCAGTATGCCAATATCGAGGCTTACCTCTTCGCGCTTGACTGAAGATGGTTCTTCCGGTACACTAACCTGCGGCTGAGAAACCTCCGGCGATTCTCTATCTGACGGATTCCCGTGAAGTTCTTGATGTTCATGCGACTCTTCGGACTGCTCCACTGTTTCCCTTGATTTCAATGCGTCCTCAGTCTCCACCGTACTGATCACCTTCTCGTTATCTAAATCCGCTTCCAATGATTGGTATCTTTCTTGCAGCGACTTTAACGAAACAATCTCCGCTCTACTTGCATCCAACTCTTCCGAGACTTGCTTTAGCGCTTCCCTCAGCTCGTGAACCTTTACACCATAAAGTCAGTTTACAAGCAAGCACATTTGAACACAAATACCGTTGTAGCGCTGCGAGTAGCTTCTGCCTCCGCATTCTTAAGTGATCCTTTCAACAAATCTTTTTCCTTCTCATAAATATCCCGCATTTCAGCAAGCTCATCACATTGTGCAGAAGAAGGCTCCTGAAATAATAATCATGAGTCAAAGAGAACAAAAGAGCACAGCAACAACAAAAGTATTCTACCTCAGATGGAACAGTCTCATGCTCACTGGTATGATACGCACGGTAGTACTTTTGCAATGCATTTGGAACCCGGCCAGAGTCGTCGAGAACTTGGTCGTCAGCCTGTTTCATGATACTTGAGCACACACCAATTTAAACTCGATAAGCGTACCTCTTCACAAAAAGTCATAGCAGTCAATTTATAGCCCGCTGACACGAGATAATCCTTCACAGCACCGTTCAAGTCCTTCCTTTCGTGCAGTCCTATTTGATCCTGTGTACGAGAACTTATCGCTTGTGGAAGCTGATCGGAGTTGCTTTGAACTGGAATATATACCCTTTAGGAGAAAGGGGGAAAATGTACGAGAAATAACCTTGAGAAGGATCTTGTGATCGCGCCTCCAGCTTCATCTGGAGCGTCTTCACATCCTCTTGAGCAAGGCGGAGCTCGTATTCCAAGACCGCAACTCTCTCCAGAGCGGCGGCTTTCTCTTCCATAATCTTCTTCGAATCCGTCTCTGAGACACAAGGGAGGTTTGAGCACGGCGAATGCAAGCTACCAGGACCCCTTACCCTGCAAATTCTGGACATGGAGCAGCTGATCCGATGGAAATACTGCCGGATCTGCGAAGAACTGGCTCAACTTGCTCACCGCCTCGGAATCCTCCATTCCATTCTCGATGAGCTCGTGGAGGAGCTCAAATGCCGAGAGGAGGTAGCGCTCCCGCAGGAGAAAATCCACGACGCCATCCACGATCTCCATACCCAGCGCTTCCAAAGCCCTACCGCCAATGAGCTTAAGACTTTCTTTTAGCAACTAGTCACGAGTTCGATTCCTTAGAACCAAGCTTACTTCCTATCAACGCATTTTCTTCACAACTCGTTGCGAGCAATACAAACGCGGCCGAATCTCTTCCATGCAAGCCGAGAATATGCCTCGCGCCAAAGGCCCCGTTCTCTATATCGTTGTGGCTCTTACAAGCCGAGAGGAAGCTCGTCCAATCCACCGCGTCTGGAACAAACGGCATATTCGCGAGGAGGTCCCGTGCGCTGTCCAGGTATCTTGCCCGTCCCAGCAAGCCCAGCATGCAGCCGTACAGTTGCTTGGTAGCTTGTACGGAGTAATCCACAGTCATTGATAGAAAGCACGGCCTCCCATTGGCCACGTCTCCCTTGTGACTGTATGCGACTAGCAGTGACGCGAAACTGGCTTCGTCGGGCATAAACACTGTCTTGATTTCATCAAACTCTCCTCTGGCCTCAAGCGCGTGCCCATTTTGGGCATATGCTGCGAGCATCGAGTTCCTTGATACAAGGTTTGCGTCTGGCATGGTATCTAGCAATTTTCTTGCTTCATGGATGCAGCTATTCTTTGCAAATGCGGCCAACATGATGCTCCAAGAGAAAATATCCTTCACTAAGATCGAATCGAACATTCTTTTGACTTCATACCAGTAGCCGTACGTGGTGTATCCCACAAGCACAGCATTCTCGGCAGCAGCGCATGGAACAGGAAGCATGGAAAGAAGATTCTTAGCTTCTTCGGTATATCCATGTTGAGCATACCCAGCTATAAGCCCAGACCACGCCACCGCATCATGACATGGCATCGCATCAAACAGATGCCTTGCAGCTTCAAGATGCCCGGATTGACAATATGCCGTTATCATTGACGTATAGCAGACGTGGTTCTTCTCCAACAAACTATCAAACATGGCCTTTGCTTTTGTCGTCTCGCCGCATTGGCCGTATGCAGCTATCATACAAGTCCACGAGAAAATATTCCACTGTGGCATCTCGTCAAACATCGCTCTCGCAAGATCAAGATGCCCGTTCTGGGCATATCCCGCCAGCATAGAGCTGTAAGATACGAGATTATGCTGTGGCATGGAATCAAAGACTTGTTTGGCCTGGTCAATCAGGCCATTCTGGACGTATGCGCAAAGTATGGAGCTCCATGACACAAGGTCGTGCTCTGGCATGAAATCAAACACCTGCTTTGCCTCACTCAAGTATCCCGTGAACGAATATGCTGCCAGCATGGCATTCCAACACACAAGATTCCTCTGTTCCATGCTATCAAAGATTTTCTTGGATTCCTCAACATTCCCGGTGTGGGAATACGCAGTTAGTAAGGACGTCCATGCAAAAACGTTCCACTCGGGCATCTCGTCAAAGATCCTCTTGGCATCTAAAACATATCCCGCTTGGGCGTATGAATCGAGCATCGACGACCAGCAGATCAAATCCCGTTGCGGAATATTCACAAACATTTGCTTAGAGTACTCGAGATGCCCGCTTAAGGCATATGCGGTTATCATAGAAGACCAAGAAACAAGAGTTTTTACTGAAAGTATGCGAAACAATTCTTTTGCCTCTTGCAAGAACCCATGCTTTGCATATCCCGAAATTACAGTGTTCCAGGAATGTGCATTAACAACCGGCAAAGAGTGGAGTAAATCTCTTGCCTTGTCCATATGCCCGGATCGGGCATATTCTTTAAGGATCACATTCCACGCCACTACATTATTCTCAGGCATGCTTTCCAGGAGGAGCTCCGCATCTGTGAGATGCCCGTTCCGAGTATATGCCGCCGCCATGAGCGCCCAAGAGAAGGAATCTTTGCAGACATTGGCATCAAAAACTCGTCTCGCCCCTTCTACGCTGCCACACTTGCCGTACTTCTCTATTAGCTGGTTACAAAGAAAAGTGTCACTGCTAAGAAAGGGCTTCACGCGTTGGTAAAGATCGTTTAATTCGTGAATTGTACTGAGCAAATCTATTCTAGCTCTCTTTCCGGACAATGGCATTGGTTTTCAAATTTTAGGGCTCCGCTAACTTATACCGTACTAGGTCAAAATGCCTGGGCAGGCGATTCCTCCTCCGTGCTCCTTTCTCCAAGTCGGCCAGGTAAGCTCCTGCTGCTACTGCCTCTGCGAGCGATCTGATCGCCGCCTTGATCGCGCAGGCATTCACAGGGATCCAGAATGTGTCGAATTCGCAGAAGGAGGAAGCTTGGAAGGTCAATGTCCGCTTGCAAGGCTGCGATATCCAGCACGGCTACCTCTGCGGTAGCATGGAGGCTCTCAATGTTCCATCCGCAGAAACTCCAGTGAGTTCCAGCTTTGGGAAACTTTTTTCTTTCTTATGCTTATACTGATCCTCGCTCGCTGTTAAGGTTGTAACGTTTTGGGAGGGCCAAATTGTAGACAATCGAAACTACACTTTCTTCACTGGCCAGTGGGACGCAAGGTAAGTGGTTTCGGAGAGTAAGTCACAGTAATCGATCGATCTTGTTTCGTTGTTTTTCCAGTCCAGACACGGATGTCAAGCACTGGTCGAAGTTTTCATCGTTTTTACCACTCTCGGTTCGTTGTTCTTCGTACTTACACGCATTCTTTCTTCCTAACGCTCTTTAGAACAGGATACCGTGGAAAGAGACGGCGGCAGATCTCTTGATCTCGCAACTTACCCATCCATTTTCATGGCAAGTACCCCATTTCCCTCGTGAAAATGAGTTCTGGGCTTGAAGTTTCTCATGGATTTCACAGAGGTGGAAAGAAAAGTTCTTCGTCAATGTTGGTGCCGACTGCGGCTTGACAATAGCCGGCTTTTACTACGTTTGCTTCTCCCGCAACAATGGCGCCGTCCAAGGCTTCTACTACGATCCAAACAGCAGGTTTCTATCCAAATCCACCGTGTTTTAGCTCTTTCGATCTGTCCTAACTCGATCGATCCATTGCAGTCCTTTCCAAAAGCTCGATCTCAAGGCAACGAACGAGGGCCGGGCCGGAGCAAGCTTCGCGAGTTATCAGTTCCAGTGAAACGAAACTTGCAAATCATCCATCGGTGTTATAAGTATGCATGTAAAGGTAGCCATCTCTCTCACAAACGAAACAAAAATAACTTGTATGGTTTCTTTGATGACAAAAAGTGTGTAGTGTCACAGCCCAGGGGACGAATGACATCACGCGTAAGATCCAAGGTATCTTTTAGTGGACAAGGAGATCATGTAACCATGTTAATGACGCGAGACGGTACGGCACAAGCCTAGCGCTTCCTAAGCGCCCCATGCAAATCCGCTAGGGGAAAAAGACAGTAATGGCTGGGTGCCAGCAAACAGCTGGCGTGATGATACTGCGTTGATTTACCCGCGTGGTACGGACGCTGCCCCTCCGGTGACGTGGCGCGATCCTGGCCGTGGCGCGCGTAGCGTGGTAGATCTGTAACAGCTGGACGCTTTAACGGCTGAGATGATGCTCTCTTGGTGTTCCAAAACCCATCGTGTCTTTCTCATACCAAGAGAACGCGACGGAGGGCAAGATATTATGCTTCCTTGTTGCTCAAGGCGCGCCGCGAGCTCGATCGATCGATCGATGTGGCAATGAGGACGATTCATCTGCATTTGCTTTGCGCCGTGGCCGCGATCTTGGCGATTCACAATGCGCGATCGATAGGCGCCGCGGCTTCGGTGGATCATCCTCCAGCGCCATCCTCCGGCGCAGGTAATGTGGCTTTGAAGTCTGTTCTTGCGGCGCTCCTGGAATCGCCGGCCACGGAGATGATGGAGCTCGTGGAGCAGGCAGGGATGCTGGAGGCGCTGGAATTGGCCGCGGATCGCCATAATCTCACGATCTTTGCGCCCAGGGACGAGTTCTTGGAGCTCCATTTCGATGCCGACTTCCGGAGGTTCCTCTTGCTGCCAGGAAACGTGAGATTTCTCCAGGAGCTCGTCATGTTCCACGTCCTGCCGATCAGGATCACGGCGTCGCAGTGGCGCAGCGGCAGATTCCAGAGCCTGTCCGGCAGCCGGGACGAGGTCCTGTTGCATTGGAACAAGAAGCAGCGCCTGGCGGTGGATCGCTCGACGGTAGACTGGCCGGACATGATCGTGAGGAGCGACGGCGTGGTGCACAGAATCGACGGATTGCTCGTCCCCAAATCGGTCCAGGACGCCTACGCGGCAGCAAGAATCTCCTCCTCGGCGGTTCTTCCCCAAGCCGCGCCATCTCTTTCCGGGGAATCTTTCGGCAACAAGGCCGAGGCGAAGCTCTTCCATGTCACATTCCCAGTGATCGACGATCTCATCGGCTCGGCTCCGGCGCCAGCGCCATCGCCCTCAAGATTCTCCGCCGACGGCCATGGCAGAGTCCAGGATTTCATCGCGGCGCTGGTGTCCATCGGCGGCTACGGCGAGATCGCAGACCTCCTCGTCAATCTCACCTCCCTGTCCGTGGAAATCGCTAACCTCGTCAACGAAGGGCACGCGCTCACGGTCCTGGCGCCGGGCGATCGCGCCGTCGCGCGCCTGGCCGCGGAGCACCTGGGGGCGATCGAATCCATCCTCGCCTATCACATCGTCGCCGAGTACCAGACCGAGGAGAGCCTCTACACCCTCGCCAAGCGGCACGACAGGGTGGTGCTCAGCACGCTCCACGAGCCTCCATTCAACCGGCTGGTGGCGAGGGAGATCGATGGCACGGTGGAGTTTGGCAGTGGCAACGATCTCGCCTCCTCCAATTCCTCGCGCTCGAGCACCGGGCTTTTGATGGATCCCAACATCTACACTGACGGGCGGATCTCCGTGCAAGGCATCAACGCTGTGTTGATTCCACCTCGAGGCCGAGATGCTTCCAACGAGGAGAGCTCCCCGCCCACTCCTTCGCCGCGGGCGGGCTTTAAAGACAACAAGCCACCACGCAAGCTGTTCCAAATGTTCTTTCGCGGGATTTAAGTCGTCGCAGCAGCGCTCCACTCTCTCCTGGGAAACTTTGAATGCATCGCAGCAGCTGGGTTGACAAAAGTACAAAGGATCATCGTCACTCACTAGTTCTTCCTCGCGAACGATCGTTTTCGTCCCTTCTCTCTCTCTTCTAACCATTTTGTATGTCTCTCTTTGGTGGCGCAGCTCTTTCATTGCTCGAAATTTCACAAATGTTGCTTCCACTGTTGGTGGTAAAAAACAAAATTGCAATAGAAATTCGTAAAGAAAAAAATGCCACTAGTATTAACCACCCAGATGCATCTATGGCGTGACATCATCAGGGTCAGGTTCAGTAGTTTACAAGATTCCATAAGCATTTAGATCCATTTAAATCCATCCAGGTACAATCCGCTTTTCCTCACTCCTTTGAATTACTTTTACTTCTTTACAATATGCCATGATCTTCACAACATGTGTTGCAACCAAAAATCAGTGGCATTGTCTGTGCTGTACACCGCCACAAAAAAGGTTGACATTAACAAATCCACCCATCTTAGAAAAAAAAAATTGTAAGAGGAGAATGTCAGGAGCTACTTTTAGATGAATAGATATCTGCCAGGAGCACATAGTTGGATGATTCCTGGGGACAGGCCCCTAAAGCGGATCTCGCGGCATCCTCCCCTCTTCCAGCGTCATCCTGGACTTTACACCCGCCCAAGAGTGTCTTCCACGCCAAGGCATCACACTCAAACGGCATCGTTCGTATGAGCTCCCTGGCCATCTCCAGATCCCCGGCCCTGCTCAGCAGATCAATCATACAGTGGTAATGGTCGCGGATTGGATCAATCCCGTAGTCGCCCATCATCTGGAAGTACCGCCACCCCCTCTCGAGAAGACCCGAGTGGCTGCACACAGACAGCACGCTCATGAACGTCACCGCGTCGGGTTCGAGTCCCAGCAGCCCAATGTAGCGCGCGAGCTCCAGCGCAAAACTGCCATGCCCCTTGTGGGCATATGCTGCGACGAGAGCGTTCCACGACACAATATTCCTCTCGGGCATTCTGTCGAAGACCCGGCTTGCGTCGCGCAACAGGCCGCTTTCTCCGTACGCCGCCACGAGGGAGTTCCACGACACGGTGGTACGGTGGGATATGCCGTCAAACGAAGCCTTTGCCTGGGGGATATGCCCGTGTTGGGCATAGAGCGTCACCATGAGGCTGGCGAGGATGGAGTCGTGCTCGGGCAGCCGGTGCGTGAAGATGGCGTGGGCCTCTTCGAAGTGGCCGCGGTGGGCGTACGCGGCGATGAGAGCCGTCCAGGGCTTGAGCTCCAGCCATGGCATTGAGAATTCGAGCAGCACTCGCGCGGGTTCCAGCTCGCCATTCTCCGCAAGGCCTGTGATCAGCGCATTCCAGGATCCGGCGTTGCGTTCTTGCAATCCATCGAAGATCTCTCGCGCCTGGGCGATCTCGCCGCGCTCCAGCAATGCGGCGATCATCGTGTTGCCCGCGACGGCGTCGAATCGCGGGAGGTTGTGGTAGATCTTCTTGGCGGCGGCAAGATGCCCGTGTTGGGCATAGGCCTGGAGCATCGTCGTCCACGACACGGCGTTCCTCGCGGGCATGGCCTGGAAGAGGAGCTCCGCCCGGTGGAGATCTCCGGCAGCGGAGTGCGCCGCCACCATCGCCGTCCACGACACGATGTTCCTCTCGGGCATCCGATCGAAGAGCTGCTGCGCCTCCTCCAGCTGCCCATTTGCCGCACACCCCTGGATCATCGCGTTCCAGGTCACGATGCTCCTCCTGATCGATCGATCGAAGAGGGCCCTGGCCTGGCGGAGGTAGCCGAGGTCGCCATAGGCCGCGATGAGGGCGCTGCTATCAATCCCTCCTGCGCTCGCGCTCGCCGCATCAAACAGCACCTTGGCGGCCTCGATCTCCCCCTTCTCGGCAACACTGGAGAGAATGCTGCTCCAGGAGATGGAATCCCTCCCGGGCATGGCGTCGAATGTGATCTTCGCCTCGCAGAGATGGTGCCCCGACTGGGCGTACGCCGTGAGCATCGAGTTCCAGGACACGAGATCCCTGAGCGGCATTGCGACGAAGATCGCATTGGCAGCCTCTGGCGATTCGTGTGAGCGCGCCGTGATCATGAGATTCCAGGAGACGATGTCACGCTGGGGAAGAGCGCTAAAGATCCTCTTCGATTCCTCCAGATGCCCTCCCTCGGCATATGCTTGAAGCATGGAGTTCCATGATACCAGATTCCACTCCGGCATCGTGTTGAATATTCTCGCCGCGTTCCGTATGTTTCCGTTGTGCGTGTACGCCTGTATCATAGCCGTCCACGTCACCACGTTGCGTTCCGGCATGGATGTAAAGAGATCTTCACAATTTTCTATTTCCCCAAGCTGGGCATATACCGGAATCATGCACGTCCACGACACTACGTTACGATCTGGCATGGAATGAAAAAGATTCCTTGCTTCGTCAAATCTTCCAACCTCAATGTAGGCTTGGATCATTGTATTCCATGTCACAACTCCTCTCGCAATCTCTCGATCTTCCATATCGGCAAACATTTTCCTCGCTAGATCAAGTTGCCCGTTCGCGGCATATGCGGTGATCATGGAGTTCCACGAGACGAGGTTTTTCTCCGGCATTCGATCGAACAGATGCTTAGCCTGGTCGAGACTGCCGATCTGTGCGTAGGCTGTGACCATCACGGTCCAGGAGACTACATCAGCGCGGCGATTGGATTCCATGTCCTGGAAGAGCTGCCTCGCGCAATCAATCCGCCCGTTCTGCGCGTAGGCCTGGAGCATGAGATTCCACGAGTAGCGATTTCGATCCGGGATGGCATCGAAGACCCTGCGCGCGCTGTCGATGCTGCCGCACTTGCCATACATCCGGATGAGGAGATTGTGGAGGAATTTATCGCGGCTGTGGACCGCGCTGCTGGCAATGAAAGAGTGTAAATTCTTGCCGCGCGAGAGATCCCTTGCGCTGGCGCACTGCTTCAGGGCATCGGCGAGCTCCTCGACGGTGCTGGAATTCATGCGCGGCGTTAGCGGGAAGAAGAAGCATATTCCCTTGAAACATTCTCTTTTGTTTTAGCTGGAATCGAACCCTGTCCGAGTTCTAGGGTTCTTGTAGAGCTTAGGGTTTAGGGGCGGCGCGGCGGAGGCACGGCACGATGGTGAAGTTTCTCAAGGCGAACAAGGTCGTGGTGATGCTCCAGGGCCGCTACGCCGGGCGCAAGGCGGTCATAGTGAAGAACTTCGACGAGGGCGGCGCTCGCCCCTATGGCCACGCATTGGTCGCCGGGATCTCGAAGTACCCGAGAAAGGTATGCGCTTGGAGCTGCGGCATTTCCAATCTGGAGGGCATTTTCTTCAATCTGGATTCTCGCAGGTGATCAGGAAATTGTCGCAGAAGAAGATCGCCAAGAGGTGCCGATTGAAACCCTTTGTCAAGCTCGTGAACTACAACCACATGATGCCGACGAGGTGAGAGCTCGACTTTGTTTTTCTTTGTGGTTCTTGTTCTAAATTCCTTTGTTTCACTTAGGTACACCCTCGATGTGGATCTCAAGAACGTTGTCACGTCCGAGAAGCTTGACACCGATGCCAAGAAGAAGGCCACTCGCAAGGTAAATCTCTCTCCCTTTTCTCGCTTTCTCTGTGGCTAACTCTCGGGCTGGAAACAAACAGGAAGTCAAGGAGCTTTTCGAGGAGAGATTCAAAACCGGCAAGAACAAATGGTTCTTCACAAAGCTCCGGTTCTAGACCCTGTTCTTTCGCAGCTGAGACTAATGGTAAACTACGACGCCTTTCTTCTTTTCGGAGGTTTTCCTTTGAATTTTGCAATCAAAATTACAAGCAAGAGATACATTCGCTAAGGATAATCGAATGTCAGCGGCGAATGGTTGCAAATCGTATAGTTGGGATCGAAAAAGTTTGGCTTGGTTGGTGCGAGGCGATCCATGAGCTCCATCAACTCGGGAGGCCGGCCCACAAGCGAGGCATAGTGCATGGCAAGCGAGTATCGTCCCTCCATGGTGTAGTATATCGCGTGTCTACTCATCTCTTCCCTCCATAACTTCTGAGGATCATTTTCATACTCGTGACCGTGATCTTCCAGTGCCGCACAAATCTGGAGAGGAAGAAGCTGCTCTTGAGTTTGCGTTTGGTCAAAATCGTCGGGAAGCTCCTCGATGACAACCATCGCTTAAGGATTGAAGAGAGCTCCCTTGGTATTATAGAGAAAAAGGTGGCGGGAGAAAAGGGTAAGGGTAAAAGGGACCATTGTCTCGTACGGACAGAGGAATGCTAGCTCAACACTGACACAATTCACATGCGAGGAGCACTCACGCTGGCTGCCAAACTATTCCAGCTACAGGCGGAAGATCAAACAGTTCTTGGTGCCTTGCTGATTGATTGATTGATTGATCCAGGGGGTGAAAACGACGTTAATATCTATGGAGCGCTACGCATGAGCTCAAGTAGCACTAAGAAAACCGATTTGGATCGAGGAAGCGAGAGAACAAAGCAAAAGGGACGGGAATAAAGAGAGTGGTCCCGGGATCTATCACTGCTGACGATGTTGCTCTCCGGGAAATTCATATAAAACTACGAGATGGAGTACGAGCTTTGAATTGGAGCAAGCCCACCATGGAAGTTTCAGCGGGTTTTGATTAGAACCAGCGATAAGAGTGGAGCTCCAATAGATTTCTATCTTGGAGGAGATTTATTACTCTTTTCCCGAGAGTTGCATGAGCGGCCAGATTGCTGCTAGGTGGAGTGACAGTTGCGACTTAGATTGTTTCCATTTGGAGGCTGGCAAGCTAAAAAAGAGATTTTTCTCTCTTGTTCTTCAAGACCAAATTGGCCGATTATGTCCGATAAAAACGAATCTCACCCTCGTCCTCGGGATAAGAGCCGAGAAATTCTTCGATCGCCTGGTCTTCTTGTGTGGCTGGTTAAAACGCACGTGTGAAGCTTGGAGCGTGAGCATGAGCTCCTGGGTTTCGTGTTCGTGTCGAGTGTTCCTGGTGAAACATCTCAGGGAATCTTCCAGATCGTTCGCTGCGGTTGGAGGGCGATTGTGATTGATGCTTGGATGGATGGATGGATGCATGATCTCCGGATCCAACTGAATTGGAATTGAGGCAGCGCCTGCTTGATCGAGAGGCAGAGCTCCCGAGTTTCTAGGCGTGACTCCAGAGTGGAAGCTGGAGTGTTTGCATCCAAGCGGGTTTTGAGGAGTTGTTATTGGATCAGTGTTCTTGCTGAGATGGGCTCTTTCATCAACCATCCCTGGCCTGGGTGAAGTGATGTGAAGGTGACAACTCTCGAAGATTGTTAAAGCTTCTTCGTTTTTTTTTCTTCTCCTCTGTTTGCTTTCTTTTTGGAAGTAGCAAGCAGCTCCTTTTTGACTATATAATCTTCTTCTTCTCTCTCTCTCTCTCTCTCTCTGGACTTCTTTCCAGTCTTCTTCTTCCTTTGGAGAGGATCCATGGAGATTGAATCGGCTGGACAGCCTAGGCAGACGCTTAAGCAGATGCTGCTGGACGCCAGCAATTTCTCGTCCCCTCGCGCGGTGCTCGACGCCCCTTTCGACCACAATTGCAGCAGCGGCAGCGAATCCTACTACGCCTACGCCGACACAATGAGCATCCGCACAGGCTTCCTCCATGATCACCATCGACACCACCACCACCACCACCACCACTTCCATGATCTTCTCGACGAGCGCCTGAATTCCCACTCAAACACATCGCCCTCGAGCAGCGGCAGCGAGGACAGCAATCGCAGCGCCCGCTGCTTCACCGTCTTCCGCCGGCTGGGCACATTTCCCAGCGATCGACGGAGCTCCCGCAAGCTCCGCACGTCGAGCTTCAAGCTCATGAGCAAAGTCGCGCCGCTGGCGGTCGAGTCCAAGAAGCTAAAAGGGGCCAAATGGAAGCAGTTCCGATACAGCGAGATCGAGTCCGCGACAGGCTGCTTCAATCCAGGTAAAAGATCACGAAAAATCCAAGGAAAAGTTCTCTCTTGTTTCTCTCCTGTTCTTGACTGTTCTTTGGAAGTCTTTGATTGATCGTGGCTAATTGCAGAGAATTTGATCGGCAAAGGTGGCTACGCGGATGTTTACAAGGGATGCCTGCCAAGTGGCGAGCTGGTGGCCGTCAAGCGCCTCACAAGGGGCGGTAAAGAGGAGCAGGGCACGAGTTTTCTCACGGAGCTGGGCGTCTTGGGCCATGTTTCTCACCCAAACGCCACGCCCTTGCTAGGGTTTTGCGTCGATGGCGGCCTCTTCCTCGTGTTCCACTTCCTCCCCCATGGAAGCCTCGCCGCAATGCTGCACGGTAAGCGCCTCTCTTCCGGCTATGGCCGATCGATCCATCCATTTCTTGTTTGATTCTTGCTGTTCTTGGTCCTTGATCGATTAGATTTTCCTTGCTTGCGCGCATTGTCGATCGATCGATTGATCCTTGATCCTCGACTCCTTCGTTTGTGTTTGTTATGGATGGAGCTGGTCTAGTTGGTTCTTGGATTTATCAATTCTTCTTCCCCGTTGGCAGCGTTGGACTTTTGTGGATCCAACTGGAATCAAGTCGGAACTTATCTTTGATCTTTAAATCTTTTCAAGGTTCTCGGCTCATGGAGTGGCCCGCACGCTTTAAGGCCGCGATCGGGACAGCCAGAGGTCTTCACTACTTGCACTCGAATTGTCGGCGCAGGATCATCCATCGGGATATCAAGTCATCCAACATTTTGCTCGGGCCAGACTTTGAGCCGCAGGTACTTCACAATTCACTTCGTTCTTTTGTTCCCTTTTTCTCTTCTCTTGGTATGTAGTTGACCTCCTTTTCTTTAATCGATCTAGATAACTGATTTCGGCCTGGCGAAATGGCTGCCATCGGAATGGACTCACCATACGGTTCCAGTGGAAGGGACTTTCGGGTAAGAGATTCTCCTTCTTTCTCCGTAAGAATGAATGAGCAGCAAGAGTTTCTTCTTTTCTCTTCTTGTAGATATCTCGCTCCGGAGTACTTCTTGCACGGCATTGTCGACGAAAAGACGGACGTGTTCGCGTTTGGAGTGCTGCTCTTGGAGCTCGTCACCGGTCTAAGACCCATTGATAGCACTCAGAAAAGCCTAGTCATGAAGGTATGCCTTTGAAGTTCCGTCTATTCGGTATTGGTGTGGTCAAGTCTGGCGAGAAAAGTTTTGGATGAATGAATGACAATTCACGCAGGTGAGACCGCTGCTTGAATCAGCTAACATTCAACAGCTCGTGGACGGTCGCCTCAAAGGTGCCTACAACTTAAGCGAGGTGCAAAAGACCATTCTTGCGGCACGGCTTTGCATACGACAGTCTGCGATAGCACGTCCATGCATGGCAGACGTAAGCTCTTATACATTATCTCCCGGTTTTGACTTGTCCATCCTTAAAATACTCTGCTTGATTTCTTTCTCCAGGTCGTGAAGCTTTTGGTCGAAGGAAGGCCAGACCTCAATCTCTCGACTCAATCCCACTCTCTGTGGGACAAATTCGACGCGGACGACGAGTTCGCGTTAAGTTTCCAGGGCAAAGACATGAGCAAGTACAAGGCTCTGGCTTTTGATTCTAGCGAGAGCCCGGATCTTGTATGAGATCAGTTCTTGTTTTGGTTTTTGGATGCAAAGTAAAACATTCTTGACGCAAGCTGGCCCGTAAATCTTAACTCCAAGAAGCAAGTTTTTTGTAAGCTTTGGTACCAGATAGAATGCAAATTCCCGTAGTGGGCGACCTTCTACGCAAGAAAAACAATCTATCGTTCCCTCGTGATCCCCCGAAATTCAGCAGTATTTAAATCAGTAATATAAGTAACGTAAGTTTCTTAAGAAAACATTGCTTTACGGCAACCGATCTTTCTCCTCCGCCCTTAAAGCTCTGAGGAGTCAAGCCTTCGTCCAGCAGCTTTAGTATGCAATGCAGCATCTAAATATCCTCGTTATAATCAAGAACTAAATTCATATCCCAAAGTACGAGCACTCGAAGTACTACAGTTCCATGTAAATCTTGAGCTCTGCTGATCAATTAGTAAAAATTTATGAAAAAAGAGCGCGTGATCACTTCACTGGCGAGAGCGATGCTCGGCCTGACGTAATATGCCCCGCATCATTATCAGCCACGTCATCATCCTACACCATGCTGGCTCCCTTGAAGCGGGCAATCACTTCTCTCACAAGCTTTTACATATCGAAGGAAAGCACTTGCAGTCTTTAGGGTGCCAAGTAAGTTTTAGAATATGCTTCGTGTCCACTGAAATGCTCCACTCTTATACTGTTAAGCGCTTTACGAGACAGTACCACGAGACATTCTTTGTTTCTCTCGATGCTTTGGTCGAACTCGTTGGAGCTCGGAGGTTTGAAAAGCAAAAACCTTCACTCGTGGGCTCTCGTGGTCTCGTCCCTCATCAAAAGCGGAGACATAAAGGCCGCAAAGTCGGTCTTTGATTCCATGCCCGGGTGGAATGTCGTGGTGTGGAATATGCTTCTTTGCGCACATGCCCGCCGTGGGCATACAATGGAATGTACAAACATCTTCAGTCTTATGGCAGACAGGAACATCATTTCCTGGAATGCCTTGCTTCTCCTTTATAGAACCACTGGAGAAATTGATCAATCGAAGGTGATATTTCAGAACATGCCAGAGCATAACGTAGTATCATGGACAATTTTGCTATCGGCATATGCCCGATTATGGGATCTGGAGAGTGCGAGGTATGTTTTTGATTCCATGCCCGAGAGGTCTCTCGTCTCCTGGACGGCGATGCTCGAGTGTTATGTCCAGATGCACGAGATGGAACTAGCGAGAAAATTTTTTGACGACATGCCCGAGCGTGATCTCTTCTCATGGACGTCCATTCTCTGCGGGTACGCGAAGCTGGGAGATGCCCGCGCCGCGAGAGAGCTCTTGGATCGAATGCCCCTGGGAGACATCGTCTCGTGGAGCTGCGTGATCGAGGCACTCGTGAGGGACTCTCAGATTTCCGGAGCTCGCGAGATCTTCGACAATCTCCCAGTGTGTGATCTTCATTGCTCCAATCTGATGCTTGCAGCGTATGCCCAAAGAGGAGATCTAGAGGAGGCGAAAGCATTGTTTGATCGCATCTTTCTGAGAAACTGTTTCACTTGCACTTCTATGCTAGATGCATTTTCTAAGTCTGGAAGAACCATTGAAGCGAAGGTTTTTTTTGATAATTTTATGCCTGAGTGGAGCTTAGTTTCCTGGAACACCATGCTTGCAGCATTTGCTTTGAGTGGTCATTCGGAGGACGGACAAAGGTTCTTCGATTCGATGCCGGAGAAAACCTTGGCCTCCTGGAATTCTCTACTGGATGCTTACTCTCAAGCTGGGAACGTTTTGGCTGCTAAAGCGATCTTTGATAGAATGCTAGAGCGGGATAAATTCTCGTGGAACTCACTGCTCACTGCGTTCTCTCAAAATAAATACGTGGATGAGAGCAAAGAACTGTTTGACAGCATGAAGATCGTTGAATCACCAGACCAGGTATCATTCCTGTCAATCCTCCACACTTGCAGCCACACCGGAAATCTCAGCGATGGAAGATCACACTTCGTGTCAATGAGTCTGGACTTCAACTTGGAGCCCACGAAGCACCACTTTTGCTGCATGATCGATCTGCTTGCAAGATCCGGTTACCTGGACCAAGCATGGCATCTGCTGGAAACCACGAATTCTACCAGTGAAGCCGGCTGGACGAGTTTTCTGGGAGCATGTCGAAACTTCCGCAATCCTGGGCTGGCTAAGCTCGCCACAGGCTCCATTCTCAACATGAATGCAGGCAACAGGGCAGCTTACGATTTGTACTTAAGTGTTTTGTCTCAAAAGAACAAAAAATATCATTTGAATAATTAAATATGCCACGTGGTTATTACTTTTACAAGTACTTAGGCCATAGGCTTTATGGCGGGGAGGATGGCGGTCCAGGTTAGAACGATTGCCAATCTTGTTTGCGCAATAGCTGACGAGAAATGTGGCAATCCCACTCGCCGACTCTGAGAACAAGCACAAGGTGGAGGTTTCTCTGCCCCTGTTCGTGATCAAACAGGGTACTGGCTTTCCAGACACCGACATTGAGGACAGCGGATCTCTGCTTGTGAGAGATAGCACTATAGCACCTTCTTGGCGATGATCCGGGACAGGATTCTACTGCGTACGCAGCCGCCGCTGCTGCAAGGTGGTCGGCCCGTGAGGCATAGCAGGAAGCTTAGGAACTGGTAAGACGTGCTTCGGACGCTATCTCTTGTGCGAGCTTGGCCGTCATGCCGCGTTCAGGGAGTGGAAGATCATCTGGGAAGAGTCTGCTCCACAGGTTGAAACGAGCCCGAGTTACTTCTTTCGGGGGAGTGAAGTCGGGAGTCAAGTTCGGAAAGGGATGGTTGGGAATTTCGATCATCTGGCTGACCGGGAGAAGACGGTGTTTCTGGTGAACGGGCCGTCTCTCAGGCCTGTACACAAGCTGAGCAAGGTGGTCGTGTTCTCGTTGGACTGGGATGAAACGCCATACACCAAGCGGTTCCTCAAGGACACACGGACGCTGGTTCTCTACATGCCAACGTGGGATCTTTGCGAGCTTGCGCTCTTGTCCGCGTCCAGGGCTAGAGACATCGAAGCCATGAAAGCTCGCTACGCACGCTTTGGTGGCTCGGCACGCGCGATATGTGACGAGTTCGATTGCCCGGACTATAACTCGAGGTTTGAAGTTGCTCTAGATGACGCCAGAAATGCCAGCGACCTAGATATCGTGAGAGCTCATCGACAGGATCGGGAATCCAGCAGCTACCTCTTCCATTTTAAAGTGCTCGACTCAACCTACACGACTGCTGCAGTCACGTACGCGTCTCCGTATGTAAAAGCGAGGCTAGAAGCGGAACGGGTGCTCATGACAGGCATCAAAGAAGATATCAGATTCATCGAGAGGATGAAGCGGATACCCCAGGAAGCGGCCATGGTCGCGAGTACGTATGAACATCTGGTGCACTCTCTAGTGATGGGAGGCACCATGGCGGAGTGTACGTTCGCGAGTAGAAAGCTTTTGAGACAGGGTGAAGCTTCTTCGCCTTCAACCAGCTGCTACGGCATCTTCAGACACAGTGTGCTTGGGTTTTGGTTCCGAACTGTCACGCTTCCTCAAGCTCAAGGATGTCAAGGCCGACTGCCCAGGATACTATGTCCCCGTTTACTGGCCGTGCCCGTGCTACGACTCGCTTGCGGTTCTTCCGGGTGGCGAATGCTGGCTGCTGCGGATAACACGAAATGTGGAGCAGGATGCCTTGTTCGGCTACGTTGATGCAGCGATCCAGCGTTTCAAAGCTGTGAGGTTCCTGTACGTGGTGCCGGAGGAGGTTTTCGCTTCGTACCCGTACCAGAAGCTCATGTGGGGCAAGCAGGAGAGGAATTGGCCTAGCGTGGTCGGCATTCCAGACACGGCGTTTTGGGGGCTTTTGAGCGAGCAGTCTTCCAAGCGAGTGAGAACTGCTTGTTAAAAGCTTGTAAACCGTTTTTTTAATTTCATGGAAAGCCACGAGTACGATTTCACATATATACCAGCTCAATTTATTTTTTCAAAAATCGATTGTTATGCGATTTTTTTTCTGGCGAGACATGATGCCTCACATTCTTGAGGGGGGATAGCATTCTATCAAAGATCTCCTTCTGTGGCATACCGCGACTGCCCCACATTCTTCTGATGATGCACCAGATCGAATAATTAAGTAGCTCATTAATTGAGAACTGCCCCTTTTTGTCCTGGGTACTTTGCTTAAGTTTAGGGTTCATCGTTGATAAAGGCGGTGGATGTCACGGACGGGTTGGGGTTGGACCCTTCCACTCTGCCCATTGATCGGAGCTCAAGGTAGGCCGCTTCGCCTCTCTCCACCCTCGCAAGGTAAGTAGGGCTTTAGCAATAAGCGAGTAAGACAGAGATTTGGAAAGCGAAGCTGCTTGCAACGAGCTAAGACGTAGGCGATCAAGAAATCGTGTTGAAACTCTCAACGCTTGAAGACACCTCTTTTCGATTGCAACGCAAAAGGGAGCCAGTGACACAATAAACAACTCAAACAAGCAAAGTGCAAGACAACGGGCCAAGGAACTCTCAACGCGAAGGGAAACTCACTGATGTGGACAACGCTGTTTGAATATGAACAAAAGTAACGATCAACGATACTTGGTTTCACGTTGCCAGGTTCGCGTGTGTTTCGATTTGTTCTAATTTCTTGTGATGAAGAAGCCAAGTGACATGCTGGTGCTGCTCAACGACGATAAGAACTGAAACACAGTGTGTGCCAAGAAGAAAAATGCTACTAGATTGGAGAGATTTTGTGTCAGCGTTTTGGAGCTTTGAGTTGTGTTGTTGCTGCGCTCAACGTAAGACCTGCGAGCTGAGAAACAACGTTGGGAAACTGCGATCTGCAGAACTGCTGAAGTTCTACACGACAATGGTCCAACCTCAATGAAAACAACAATCATGATCCGTCGCTGATCCTTGACCGGCCCCGTCCACTCTTGCACCTCTCCACCTCCCTTGCAAGGTAAGTTTGCTTGCAACGAGTTAAGATGTATTCTCTAGAATGATCAACGATAAAAGAGAGGCTAGAGGCGATCAAGAATTCGTGTCAACGTTTGAAGACGCTCTTTCTTTTCAATGTTATGCTCAACGCAACAAAAGGGAGCCAGTGACACAGTCCAAGTTAAGATGATATGCTCGATCAAACAACTCAAACAAGCTAAGTGCAAAACAATGGTCCAAGGAACTCTCAACGCGAAGGGAAACTTAAAAAAGACAAGTGACATGTTGGTGCTGCTCAACCACGATAAGAACTAAAAAACGCTGTGTCCAAGAAGAAAAATGCTACGAGATTGGAGAGATTCTGTGTCAACATTTTGGAAAGATTGTCAGCAATGTTGCTGCTGCGCTCAACGCAAGACTTGCGAGCTGAGAAACAACGTTGGGCATCTGCAATCTTCTGACTTCAATCCAGTTAAAGACGTACATGACAATGGTCCAACCTCAATGAAAAGAACGATCATGAAAACTCTGGCTGTCCAACGATATGGAAGTCGAAGTTCAACAGGTTCGTGAGCTGTTTGTTCTAACCAAAATGTTTGTTCAACGAACTGAAAGGCTTCAACCCCAGGTTCATGTTCTCTTTAGTTTTCTTTATAACTTCCTTTTGTTTTTGCAACGGTGACATTGAACAACGTTCCAGGGCCAGCTAACGATGGGTAGTGGCAAAACGAGACAATCTACACAAAGCACTCTGTGGTTTCCTTGAAAAGAAATGAATACATTTACAAGTTCTGTCAAAAAACGCCAAAGTAACTTGTAAGCTTCCCAGAGACGAGTGTTTGGGCGCTGTGGCAGCTACTCAAGAGCTCGTTAAACCTCTTGTAGCTGCCCGAGCTTGAAGACCTCGGGCTCGTCACTTCCAAAACGTCCAAGCCGATCCCTTCTGGCATGAGCACGAGCAGCTACGTCCCCGAGTCGATCCAGGAAAGGGTTGTGAGTTTTGTGGAACCAGCAGTGAGCTCGAGCTTTTGAGTCTACTCCCGAAGGCCAGGGACGAAGAAGAGACAGTGCTACCTCAGACGGAACCAGAGGCGGCTAGTGGCCAAAAGGCTGGATGAAAACACTCAGGTAGCAGCGACTGGACTGGAAGAAATTCCTCGACGCCACCTTGGAGCCGAGACACAAACACGAGACTCTTTTCGAAGTCCCCTACCTCGTCTCTGTGAAAGAACAAGAGATAAACCGTTGGGAGAGGCTCGCTGTTCAGACGCATCAGCTTCGTCCAGAAAATGCTCCGGAACACCTTCGCCAGGATCCGGGAGCCACCTTCCGCACTGCTCCATCCAAAATGCTGGCTGCGAAACGGTTAGCCTCCGGTTCTTCGTAGCCGAGCTTGCTCAGGTACACTTCCAGCGGAGCCAGTAGAGACTTGTATTGAGCTCTCACGCAGTCGAGGATTGCCTCCACCGACAATGGTGAGAGATCTAGAGCGAACGCGGTTCGTCAAGGCAAGGAAAGGGAGGCAGTCGGCAGAGCTCCAGCGAATTGGCTGCAAAGTCGCAAAGCTGTTCCAGCCTGCGGGAGGAGTGTCTAATACCAATCTTCCGGCAAAGTCAAAAGGTCGGGAGGAGGCCAGTGACTGGGACTCGTACTGGCAGCGTTTGTCACCTCCGCTGTAGTGTCCTGGAGCGCTTTGTTGGAGACTGCTACGTTGGCTTTGGTTTCTTCCCGTGACGAGTTTAACGTAGAGTAGAGCTTTTCTGCCACCAAGTCGCGGAGATCCACAGCATGAAGCTCTGGCTGAGCCGGCGCTAAAGTCGCGAGCCACTCAATACCCCTGGCTAGAGTCTCACTGCAGTAGAACCCGTGTTCGCTTTTCCCAGTGGTTGATAAAACTATCCAGCTGCTGATCTTGTCGCCGTCCAATCTGTGTAGCTGAAGCAGCAGCGCAACTCTTCTTCTGGTGGCGGCCTTCTGTTGAGATCGCCTTCGTCCGATCCAAACCCACTGTTGGAAAATACCAACAGTTGCACAGAGATCCCGGTAGGAAGAGAATCCACCAGCAAATGTAGCTTGCTGCGCATCCTGCTTAGAGGCGAGCCTTGAACAAGAGAGCGTTTGCCATGTTGATACTTGGCTGGAAGCTTCTGTCGAGACCAATATCGCAATGGCGAGCTACTTCGTTTTCTGTAGCACGTCCATATTTCCGATTAGCTTCGACCTCAGCCACTGCACGGGAAGCTCACTGCTTCGTCCCTTGGACGAACATGCAGAAATCCAGTTTCCAGTAAATAGTTCTCGCCCATGGATTCTTAGCTCTGAGAACCGGAGAAACTATTTCAGATGCTGTTGGGAAGCAGACTCGATGCGTTTTTTAACGGTCCAACTCTTCTTTGGTGAGTCCTTGCTTTGGGACTCGAAAAACGTCGAAGAACTGCCAAGAAAGGAGAAGCAACTTTGTTCCACAGCCGCGTGAAGCCGAGTACCTCCAAGAACTGAGAACATATGTGCGGAAGCACATATGGCGTGGGGCTGAAGGACCTCCACCCTCGTAAGTTTCTTTCTCAGATCTGCAGGCGTCGAGGTTGCAGAAATGCATCCAGCAGCTGCAGCCATGCAAACCGCTCTCGAGTCATTCGAGGTACAAACTCGACACGACTCCTTTTCCATTTTTCTGGCTTATCTTTGAGTGTGTTTTCGGGGTGATCTCAAGCAGCTTGCAATAAATGCATTTCGCTCTTCTGTGCGTATGCCATCCATAGGGAGAGCTTGATGACGATCTTCCAGGTGAGAATGCTTGAGCTGGGACATGTAGCAAGAGTTTTGCTCATCACGCTTGTCCACTTGCCCCGCCCAAAAGGCATCCAAGAGAATGAGAGCTCAAAAGAATATCATTTTCTATGGTTGAATAGGTTTCTTGCTACACGAATGCAAGATTGTGCCATGGTTTCAAATGGTAAAGTTCTTAGCCAACTACTTCCAAATGACCCTTGACTGCTCTGGCTGATTTAGACTGTGTGGTTTTTCAGGCTAAATCTTTATGGCCAGGGTCTAGAGGATAGCATTAAGTAAGTGCCCAACCTCTCAAAGCTGACCTGCAAATCTTAACACCAAAAAGCAAATTTTTTTCAACAAGAACCACTTGAATTTACAGTTTTTCATGCGATCTCGGCTTGGAACCAGTAAGGCAACACAACAGCGGAGGAGCTATTGGGTTCCAATATCCGACTTCTAGTACTTCTTTGCGGGAGAGATCCGCGAGTGTTATTCTATGTTTCTTGAGGTTTTACCAGCCTTCTGAATGCTCGGACAGGAACGGGAAAGGCGCTGGTATTTTTGGCTTCGGTTTACAAGCGCATAAACCGAAAACCGGTACATTTGGTACGAAGAGTTTTTGGTTTTCTTTCTGCCAACGTTGATGTTTGCATTGCGACACAGAGAGCCGAGAGGCCATAACCGGACTTCACAATTTCAAAAATCACCGCCACGTTCTCACTCCACTCATCCGCGCCAAGAGACGAGACAAAAATCGCAAGCATCCTCGGTCTGAAGAGCAAGACGCAAGCCATTCGGCACCACAACAAAATCTAGCAAGCCCACGCCGGAGCGGGCGACGAGTCTGGAGCTCGGTGGAGCGAGGAGCATGGAGCTTGGAGTGGGGAGGGAGCAGGAGCGAGGAGAGAGGAGCTGAGACTTCCGCGACGCTCTACGATGCGATGTGGGCAATATCCATGGATGGGAATCGAGTCAAGAGCCCAGGTCTCGCAACCCCAGCCGAGAAGCACATAGATGTGGGCAAGTATGCAAGACAGCATGGTAGCTGAGAAAACGTAACAACTCGTTCAGACGATTATGAAGAACAGGACCACTCTCCAAAAAGGCAGGAGATTTACTAGCCCTGGAGAGGTTTCGCTGGCTGACGCTGAGGAGTTAGAAAGGAAAGAAGAAGAAGCTCGACTGAAAGAAGCTCGACAAGAAGAAGAAAGGATGAAGTTCGAGGAAGCAAGCACAGGACGTGCACGGTACTGGTTCCGGTTTGTATTGACTCAGACTTTTTCTTTTTCCTCGTGAAGCTAATGATCCTTGGCTTGCAGATCCAACACGGACGAAAGTAACTTTGCAACAAGTATTAGTAGCGTAGAAAGACCTTGAAGTGCACGATACCTTACCTGTGCACGTACTCTACAGCTTCACCTGGAGGATCATATTGCACTATGAAGCTGAGCCGCCGTGTAGCGACGTCCGTGCACAGCAGCAGGTCCCTTTGAGCCTGCGAGAACTTGTGAAACGTGTCCTCATTCCCTCTCTTCGACATTGCCCTGTAGCTTTATACGTCGCAATCCAAAAATCTCCCGCGCATGGACCTATCATCGTCCATACGAAAATTTTAGAAACTAAAAAGTTAGCTGTAGAAGCCCTTAGCAGAGCCACGCCCAGAAAAAATCCAAACCTTCATTTGGCTCATGGCAGCACTGGCATTGCAGACGTATCTTGCTTGACGATAAAATACACTGTAGAACCTTTTTGGTGTATTCAATATTAGCGTTGGTGCGTAGTATGGTAGGAGAGAGACTAATCTTGGCAAGCTTGTTCACTGCCGTTCAGTGTGGCCGATAAATGAACGATAAAAGTTGCCTCTTGCTGCCATTACGCTGGTGCGTACCAAGGAAATCGAGAATGCTTCTGATATCCCGTGTCTAATAACCTGAAGGACAGAATTTTAGAAGGAGAAAAACATTTCCCATAAAAAACAATCCATTGCAAAAAAGCATACTGAAACGACGCCGTGTTCTTCAAATGATCCAGCAAGTAGCGCTCAGAATGGTGATACGTGACTAGCCAGAATCTGGGATTTAATTCAAGACCAAACAAAGAACTTTAACACACCTCGCGACTTTCTCTTTCGCTCGGTTTTTTCCATCATGTGGCCTGGAACAAGCCAGTATAACTGGTGCACAAGCTACTCCGCCACATACTTGGGTGCAAAGCTCCCTCGTTGGAACGAGGATCACAGCTGCTGAGCTCGAGGACGTGCTGTTCCACGAGACCAGCTTGCGGGCTTGAAGCGAGAGACGAGATGCACTTGCTTGCCGAGGGGGTCAGAAACGTGGAGATGAAGGGTGCAGCGATCAAGCATGAAGTCGCTGCTAGCAGAAAGAGGGCGGAGAGCATGTGGATCGAGCTTCTGCTTGATCTTGTGGCTGCAAAGTGGAGGCTAGGGCTCGACTTCAACAGCTAGGCAGGTACTTCCTTAAAATTGTCACCAACAGCATGCAAGCACAAACAAGACAAAGTATATTGAAGTTCAAAACAGCCATAACAAACAAGCCAACACACTAAGGCCGAAGCAAGCTCACAACAACAAGGCTGGATCTCATTGTGGATATTTTATGCAACACAAAAACCTCAAGTTCCACTCGATCTGTCCTCTCCACATGCGAGTTTGGAGGATTGGAGCGAGGAACTCGGTGTTTGTAAATTCCAAAAGCTTTAAGTGCCTTCTCCTTCAGCGTTTTCAAGAAAGGTTCCTCCGAAGGTAACTGCCAGTTTGTCCAGGTTTACTGGCTTGCTAAGAGCTCTAGCTACCAATGTTTAAGTAACTAACTAAGAAATGTTGGCTCATTATTCCAAGTATAATATAGAACATCAAAGTTCCGAGACCCCTCCACAAATCTTCGAAATCAAAGTTGGCTTTGTGTCTGACGAAGATACTGCAATGTTGTGATGTTTGGCAAGGTTCTCCAGCTTCTGTTTTGTGAATTCCGACTTGGAGAGAATACCTTGAATAAAGGCCACAACCTGTGGTGTTCCGAGCGATGGTCCAGCAGCCACTGCATCTGCTATAGCCTTAGTTTCAGCTTCGGCTTCTTTCTCCGCTCCTTCTTGTAACGCCTCGTATCTTTTAGCAGCAACTTCTTTCAGCGTCTGCCCAATGTCGCTGCTAACCGAGCCTGTGAAAGCGTCTTGAAACGAGACGGTGTGCAATGAGTACTTGACATTACCATAGCATCCACTGCTCCTCATTGGTTTCAGGCATTCTGGCACCGGTTTCACTGGCAAGCTTCGCGTACAAAGGAAGACAAAATGCAACTCCCATTTGCTTAGGTGCTCCTCCGGTATCCAATTTATGATGCTGTTGAAAGACATAAATTCCTCTGCGCTGGCCTGGTGCTTCTCGTCATTGACAGTCACTTGGATGGCAAGAAGATGCAAATTTCCGGAAGCATCTTGCCACACGATAAGCCCGTCGATAGAGCGATAATTATACGTGAGCGGAAGGAAATAAATAATTCCTCCAGTCTCTGCCTCAGAGATCCACGTCTTGTAGTCCGGAACACTACCAAATCTTTGGGTCTGACCAGTCCGGATATGCATACCGTTGAGATTCAGGCCCTTGCAGCTGATTACTTCCGCAGCCAGGTTTTCAACAAGCCATCCCATTTCAGCCCAGTTTATGGGGCCGGCTTGATCAAGCAAGTACCTGCAATAGTGATGCCATGCAGTCTTCTCATATACTGTCCTGCCTTCTGCCTCCCTGAACCCTTCAGTGTATATCCTCCTGATGTACGGAGTTACATAATCTGCATCGTTACATTTCGGATCCCCAACTACGAACCTCATGTCCTGTTCCATCATGCTAACTTGTGAATGACAGGCGGTTGACAAGCGTAAAAGTGTGTCCGCAAGTAAAGCCCTGATGCTGGACATTTCTGCTGAAGAAACAAATAACTTCACCACTTCCTCCCATTCATCCTTATCTTTTAGCAGGTTGGCAATCTCCACATCACTAGGCACCGGGAAAGTGGCTCGGAAAACGGCATCGAAATCAACATCTTCGCTTGTCAGACGGTTCCGAGCATGAAGTCTGCAGGATGAGTCCAAAACAGACAGCGAAAGAGGGTGGTCACCACCATAATATGCTATCTGTTCCCGCCACTGAGGAAAGCAGCCTAGAATGGATGCGTGGTTCAAGTAAGCGCCATACTCTTCCTGCAAGAATGATCGGTTGGCTAAGGGAACCAGAGATAAACGAAGTACTTACGCCCCAGAATCCCTGCTGGAAGTGGACCCAGTACGAATCACCCTTACGCTTGCGAGAGAAATCCCCCATAGGAGACAGTGCTTTAATAGAGACGTGCGCTTTCTGAAGCAAGCTCGACAACTGCATGTCCACGGCAGCTCGATGATCCTTGCCGGTATCAAGAACCTGAGCCCCATCAACTATGAAGTAGAATCTCTCTTTAAGCTCCAGCCTTTGATCCAGAAATTTCTCCACGCCTTCCAGCGACTCGAGACTGTCAATCTCTTGCAGTACATCTTGCGCCTGGCAATAAGTGAAACGTAGTGCGTCTTTCACCTGCGCCAATAAAGTGGTGTACCCGAATTCTATGCTCCACAGGCAGACGATTCTAATGTTTCCCTCCTCGCGAGCTTTCAAGAACAGCAGCCATGCAAGTCCCCTCAGGTAGCAGCTCTTCCCCACACCCTTTGGTCCCGTCACGTAGATTATATGTCCTTGGCCTGGATGTTTACAAGCGTGGAGGAATGCCCGGAACAGTCCAGCTATGTCTTCCCTGGCTGCAAACTTCAAATCCCCGCCTGGTCTACGAGGGGGCACGCCTATGCCTGGATATGGTAACGAACTCACCTCCCCAGGCGCCTTGAGCTTCTCATAGAGCTCCTTCCAAGGGATCTTTTGCATATTCCCATGCGCTTCCCTCGCTCTGGCCAGATTGTACACTGTTCCATCCAGTAGCCTCGGGTAAGCCACCACAACAGAGCGCCGGCGGCCTATCATCCTTAAACCCTATATGTTGCAGGTTTATCTTTACCGTTATTCATCTTAGGCAATAAGTAGAAACTCAAATATATTGATTGATAGATATTTTTAGTCCACGAAAGAATGCAGCTTTAGCTACCGCTTCTCTATTCCATTTTGGCAGCGTGGAGCCTCCTCTTTTTCCCGGCTCTCTTCTTTTCAGCTCTCATTCTCTTGGATGCCTTTTGCGCGGAGCACTTGGACAAGCCCGATGGTGCGTCGCGGAGAGCAAAGCTCTTGGCTACGTGTCCCAGGTGAAGCATTCTCACCTGGAAGATTTTCCTCAAGCCCTCCCTATGGACGGCATACGCACGCACGGAAGAGCGAAATGCATTCACTGCAAGCTGCTTGAGGTCACCCTGAAAGAAAACTCAAAAATGAGAAAACAAAACGGAAAGGGCCAGTTGGAGTTTGTACCTCTGACGTGACAAATGACTCGAGAGCGGTTTGCATGGCTGCAGCTGCTGGATGCATTTCTGCAACGTCGACGCTTGCAAAGCTCCTTTTCTGAGAAATGGTGTAGATAGAATCCAGAACCTTACGAGTGTCGAGGTCCTTCAGAACCACGCCATGCTTGCGCAGTTCTTGAACGTACTCGGCTTCACACGGTTGTAGAAACAAAGCTGCTTCACCTTTCCTACCAAGCCTGGCAGTTCTTCCAACTCTGCGATTACAAGCATTAGTAGCGTAGAAAGGCCTTGAAATGCACGATAACTTACCTGTGCACGTAATCTACAGGTTCACCTGGAGGATCATATTGCACTATGAAACTAAGCCCCTTAAAATCAAGTCCCCGTGCAGCGACGTCCGTGCACAGGAGCAGGGCCCTTTCAGCCTGCGAGAACTTGTGAAACGTGTCCGTTCGTTCCCTCTGTTCGACATTGCCGTGCAGCTTAAATATGTCGCAATCCAAAAATCTCCCCCGCATGGAGCTTCCGTCGTCCATGACCCAGGAGAATCTGCTCATGACAGTATGGTGAAAATCTACTGCATCGCATGTGGAGAAAAAGACAACTATCTGGAAAAACATTTGTATGATCACCAAAACATTTAGAGAGACAAAAAGCTTACCTTGTAGGAGCCTTTTGTGCTGTAAAGTTTCAGCCTTAGCAGAGCCAACAATGTGACCAGACGTATCTTGCTTGAAACTACGGACACGTGAGGAGATGTTAGAACCCAAGCAAAGACAATAAAATTGGTGTAGAACCTTTTAGAACACACTGTTGCAGCTTATCCGAGATGCTGTATTCAATATTAGCGTTGGTGTCCAGGTCCGGCGCTCCTTCAGGAGGCGTTGACGACAAACCTATGGTAGCAGGATCGCAGAGACTAATCTTGGCAAGCTTGTTCACTCTATCGTTCAGTGTGGCCGATAAAAGAACGTGCTGCCTTTTGCTGCCATTACGCTGGTGCGTACCAAGGAAATCGAGAATGCTTCTGATATCCTTCTCGAATCCCATGTCTAATAACCTGAAGGACAGTATTTTAGAAGGAGAAACAAAATCACGAAACTTCCCACCTATCCGCCTCGTCAAAAACAATCCATTGCAAAAAGTCATACTGAAACGACGCAGTGTTCTTCAAATGATCCAGCAAGCGTCCGGGTGTAGCGATCAGAATGGTGATACCTGACTAGCCAGAATCTGGAATTTAGTTCAAGACCAGACAAGAGACTTCAACACACCTTTCCGCAGCCGCGCTTTCTCTTTCGCTCGGTTTTCTCCACCCATAATGTGGCCTGGAACAAGCCAATGGAAACGGTGCACAAGCTGCTCTGCTACGCCACATACTTGGATGCAAAGCTCCCTCGTTGGAACGAGGATCACAGCTGTGGACAGTGAAAACATCAACCTTGAAAGTAGCAAACGAGAAAAGAAAAACAAACTAGGAGAAGGAACTCTTCGTACCAAATGTACCCTCCGTCCTAGTGATTTTCGGTTCACGCGCTTGTAAACCATGGACGATTGGAGCCAGATATACCAGCGTCTTTCCCGTTCCTGTCCGGGCATTCACGAGGCTGGTAAAACTGTCAAGACCGCTCTCACAAAACAAAGAATAACACTCACAGATCCCTCCCCGAAAGAAGTAATGGAATCGCCGATTTCTGGACAACAGTTGGAGATTGGAACCCCATAGCTCCTGAAAATGCGCCGCTGTCGCGTGTGTTCTAGATGAAATCGCCTTACCGTGCAAATGCGCCGCGAGGCGTGGCTCCAGGCCGAGATCGCCGAATCCGCCACTCCCGAACACGGGATCTTCCATGAAGCTAGAACCATAAACCCTAACATCAAAAAACCAAAGAAAATAAAAAGGGGCATTCCGAGAATTGAACTCGGGACCTCTCGCACCCTAAGCGAGAATCATACCACTAGACCAAATGCCCATGATTTACAGGTTAAGCTAAACACTTTCTAATTTATAGGCTAATAAACACCCTTTAACTTCTTATTCGAGCATATGCTCTATAGATAAAATGAAAGATCAAGGATTACATCATAGGGCTTTCTCTTTTTGGCACGCCATACGCGTTTGAGTGCTGACTGATATTTGTCCACGCCAGAGCTCTCGCCCTTGCAATGGAGGCGATGGCGGTGGCGTCGGCGGCGGCCACGACCAGCGGGGCGCAACAGCAGCTGGATCGATTGCACAGAGCGGCGGCGGCGTCGCGAGCGTCCTCCTGCGATTGCAAATCCTTGGCGCCTCCTCCCCCACAGCATTTGGTTTGGGGCTACACGAATCGCAGCCTCTTGCGGCGGAGTCCTGCGGAGCGATGCGCGGCGGGAGCGACTCCCACAATGCCGCACAGCTTGCCGTCGGAGAATTCGGCCACGGTATGGTGGAAATTTCTCTCTCCCTCTTCCCCATTTCTTTCTCGCGATTGAGAGGTTCGTGGTTTGCGTGTAGAAGAAGCACGATTATTACACGGTTTGCGATTTCATGACGCCAAGGAAGGATCTCTTTTGTGTTCGGGTCTCAACAACGGTGGATGATGGTCGGTGTTTTCTTTTCTTCTTCTCTTCCAGACTGACTTTGTGCCTTTCGAAAATGATAGCTTTGAAGTTGCTCGTGGACAATCGCATTACTGGGCTTCCAGTTATAGACGAGGACGGAAAGCTGGTCAGTCTCTCCATCTCTTTTTTGCAACTCGTAGATCTGAAAGCCAAATCTCTCACAGGTTGGAGTTGTATCAGACTACGATTTACTAGCTCTCGATTCTATCTCGGGTAAGCCAGAGCTCCAAAGTTTTTTTTTAATGAATTTCTCAATCTCAGGGAAGAGGCCATCGACCAACAGTTTGTTCCCCGAGGCAGGAAGTACATGGAAGGTGAGCAAAACTTTCTAGAGTTTCCATTCGCAATGAGCTTTTTTTTCTTTCTTTCAGGCCTTTAAAGAGATCCAGCACCTTCTCACCAAAACGCAAGGCAAGACTGTGGGAGATTTGATGACTCCCTCGCCGCTGGTGGTTCGAGTGGACATGAACATTGAAGACGCAGCCAGGTAGCTTCAAACGTTTCTCCTATACTCGATAGAAATTTCGCTAAAACTTCTCGGTTTTCCTTTGGATCCAAGGATATTGCTTGACACCAAGTACCGGAGGCTTCCTGTTGTGGATGAGTGTGGAAAACTGGTAACGAAGAATTAGATTTGCTTGATTGTGAGAATTCTTACATAAACCTCCAGGTCGGTTTGATCACGAGAGGCAACGTTGTTCGAGCAGCGTTGCAAGTTAAGCGTGCTGCCGAGGAAAATACTTCCAGCTCGTGACGAAGAAAAATATTTATTCTCGGAATCGTCCCAGAAGACTCACATTCATTTGTTCTCTCTGCGGCCAATTCTTTGTATTTCTATTTGGTTAACAAAGGATCACATCTTAAACGAGAAAAATGTCGTTTTATGAGTTCCTAGAATTTGGATTTAAAAGTCGTTTTTATCTCTTTGTACAATGTGATTCAACTCCCACCACCACCGCCACCGCCACCGCAACCACCACCACCACCGCCTCCGCCTCCGCCACACCCACCACCACCGCCTCCGCCACATCCACCACCGCCTCCGCCACCTCCTCCACAACCTCCTCCTCCACCTCCTGCTCCACCACATCCCCCACCTCCACTGATGCCACACCCGCCTCCGCCACCACCTCCGCCACAATACGAACCACCTCCATCATACCAGCACTGGCCTTCACCACCAAAACCATCACCACCAGTGTCACCGCCAAAGTCACCGCCAAAGTCACCATCGTGGCCCCCGCCAAAGTCACCACCGTGGCCCCTGCCCTCTCGCCTACCACCTTCAATCTCCTTGCCGCGACGGCGATCAATCATCACAGCACCTGGTCAGGCAGCAATGTTCTTAGTATTTGGGTGCAAAATACTCGTTTCTCACCCCAATGATCTTGTTCTTCTTCTGAGACTATCACTCGTTTACTCGTCGTCATCCACGAAGGAATGGATTTGCCGAGCATATCGGACACGGACATGCTTATGGTTGCCGACAAAAGAAGCACAAGCAGCACATCCTCGTTGGGATCAATCTGGAAGTAAGCTTTCACTTATGGTATCGTAGAATGAGATAGATCGAACTTTACCTGCATGCCTCCAGACCGCCAGTTGAAAAGAGCTGTCGCCTTGCCTTGAGGAGCGTCTCTTGTGAATCTCACCATTGTCACAAACCACGCTTCCTGTCGGTCTGATGCACCAGGAACAGCAAATTCCAGGTGACGACCCGAGAAGAGCATGATCTACAATCAAGTTTTCCAGAGAATCAGCCATCTGTATCACTGTATAATCTCACTAACTCACCGGACAGTCGTGGGATTTCATTTCAACGTGGAGCTGTGGTCTCATGTTCCAGCGCTTATCCTTCACATTTCTGTCCACAGTTAAAATAGCCTTCCCGTTCTGCAGAGACCATCTCCTAGACTCCGAAGATGGTTTCTCCAGTTGCCACGCAGATCCCAGAATTTCACCTGAGAAAGAAAAAACATTCTGTCGATCTAAAAGATTTGTTGCTTTTGCCATACCGTTTACAGAGCCGGTGTTATAAGAACCTTTGTATGTCCACCCTCCTTTGTGAACGTGCACAACTTTATCAGTGTCTGGAATGCTTCTTAGCCAAAACCCTCCACGCTTGTATCTACAAGAAAAGTTACCGCATCAGCTTTGAAAAAAAGTGGAAGGCTTGACCACAGCGTACAAACCTGCAACGCACGACGAAGGATTCGACTCTGGCGTGGTCGAAAACGTTCCTTGTTATCCACATGCCTTCGCGGTTACTGTCGTGAGTGGCACAGTCGTCTCCCGTGTCTCTCACTCTCACGCTTCTAAAGAGATAAGGCGCAGTGACTGGAGGGGTAACGGAGATGTAAACCAGCACCGACACTTGTTGGTCCTCCTGCAATGAAAACCAGCCGCCGAGTGATTGTGTTTCCGAACGGATGACATTTATCCATGGAATCACGAGCCGGCCCACAGTTCTGGATATCAAAAACCGCCTCCGTCGAACTGCTAGCACCAGTCCTTCGGTGGAGAGTTCAGCCGTCATGACTGACACTACGTTCTGCTGAGAGGCAGCCTTCACTGGTTGGCTTTCGAGCTTCAGAAACTTTTGATGGTTTAACGAGCTGATCACATAGGAGATGGTCTTGTCGTCTGGCAAACCTCTAGTGCCTCGCACGGAGAGATGAACCTACAAAAATCGATCGGATCAGGCGAGATTGACAACAAATCTGCAAATTCAATAACCTGAATGGTCTTTCGCTCAGCCAAGTGATCGTCGTTTTTACTCGCAAGCCTAACGAGATTGGTTGGATCATAAGCAGGTGTTCCAGGAATGGATACTGGTGGCTCCCCTCTATACATGCAGCCTGCTTTCTCGTATGGAAGGCCATACGTGTCTTCCCACATAAATCGAGTTTTTGTGAATCCATTGTCCAGTTTCCCTCCGGAACCTCGGTTGCTATCTGTGTCGTCATGCTCGAAGATCCTTCCCAGTACCTGTGTGAGATCGTTGTGGTAGCTCACAGTGTGAAGCTGATGAGTGTGCCATATCAAATCGATGTCGTAAGTGGGAACGAAAAACGTTGATGTGCCAGACGTGCGTATGAGATGGAGAAATGCCTTGTAACGTGCAGCTGCAGCTAGCAAGAAGCTCTCATCCAGGTAATGCGGCTCAGAGACCTGCATACTTAAAGTTGAGTTTGCTTTCAAGAAAAGATCACCACTTGCCTGATAGTAGAAACTTTTTTGCCTGAGAGCCGCTTCTGCCAAGTCATAAGAGATATTGGTTGCTCTTTCGGTATATCTTCTTGTCAGGTCTCCACCGTAAATGTCTAGAGTGTATGGTTCGTCCGGGAAATTCGAAGCCCAGGTATTGGCGCTTTGTTGGAGATCGCTTTCGTGTCTCGCCAAAGATGGTCCGGCCACAATCTTACCGAACAATCTCTTACAGTCCTCAGCATATTGAACCTAGTCAGAGAGGTCACTCCAGCAAACAGAAAATGAATGGGTACACTTACAGGATTCAAGCGATGGCAATGCCATATCCAATTGCAGTCGAGCGGTGGGACAAAAGTTCCAGAAGAATTTGCTAGCAGCGGAAGGCAGCAGTACTGGTATCTAGAATCCAAGAAGAAATAAGAAAACTCGATCAAGTAATTAATATCTCACCTCTCGATTGCCCTTTCTAAAACAGGGCTCTCAAATAGTCTGAAGTTGGCATGTACCAGCGAAAGAAACTCCAACTGTGATTTTGCAGCTGCTACCACATCCAGAGACACCGCAATTTCTTGAGCTTTGCGCCATTCATTCAGTTGATTCTCGGAAAGGGAAGCCATTGTTGTTGTCTGTGAGTCGAGCACATCCTTAAATTCTCGGGAAGGAGCTGCCCGTTTTGACTCTTCCGTGTTCAAAAATTCGATGTGTCTTGAAGCTTTTGGGTACTTCAGACTAGATCTCGAAATTCACGCGAGCCGCGTAGAAAGTTTCAAGATCAGCGAGGCAGGATCGTCGAACTTGCTTTTGTCGTCAAGCCGTTTTTACCAAGACTTGAGAGAAAAAAAATTATCGTCCGTCCCACAAGGACGTGCATCCACGTTGCCCTGCTAAAAACATTCAAAATCGGCAGATAGTTCAGATGCAACTGTACTCTCAAGGGAAATCCACGTCCTTTTGAGCCAAGAGAAGCTCAAAGCGAGGAACAAGAAGTACTCTTCCATGTCCACTTACACTCGCTACTTCGTGCCTAGGCAGTAAAAACACACAGAATTAGAGATTGTTTCAGTGCCAGCAATTTTCGTCACCATGGAGGATGAATGCAGAGCAGCTGGTTTCAAGTTTGAGCTCAAGTGATTGTGGCGCCCTCCCAGATGTGCCAAGAGCGCTTCAAACACATGGAAGAAAGAGTCACTGACTTACGCTTTGACGAGGCTTCTGCCGGAAGATCGCCCTCGTCGCTGCTAAACTCTTGAAGCTCTTGCACAGGAAGCTTGTTCAATGATACATCCTAGAAGAAATATCCAATGAGAGGAGAAGAAAGAGAAGAGCCAGGCCATTACCTCAGACGTGGTGCTAGAATCAACCTGGCAGAGAATGATGCGCAAGCAAACACGGCTAGAAGTTGAGCTACCTCGTGCTTGAGTTGCAATCAAGATCGTCGTCGTCAGCATCCGAGATTCCATCCTCGAGCTCCAGTGGCCGCCGCCTCGTCGTCGTCCTCAGGCGCTTCATAGCTTCCGCCCGCTAGGTTTAAACGAGAAAAAATGTCGTTCTAGATACAATAAACACGGGGGCTTAATGTCGTGCAATGGCCTCGTTGCAATGCCGTCGGTGACACAAGCGCGCTGTCTACACATTCCGTGGTAAGTGCCTCCTCGCGGCAGCAGCCTTTGGTTCCCTGGGGCAGTGATGAGAGGGAATGGAGGCAATAGACGGAATCTGGCGGAAGAGTCCCACCGAATGGAAATCCACGAGAATTGTCCATTGCATCAACAAGGCAGTACTGAATTAGTTCAATAGCTGCCAATGATGAGGCCACTCCAACCCAAGCCATATTCATAAACCAGTGCTGTGTGATATAGTGTGATTTGTGGATGTGGTAAAAAAGCCTAAACTACATTTGCCATGTGGTCCTTTCATAATTATATGCATTTTATGATAGAAAATATACATATTGTCACATTTGTAAATACATGTATGTATATACATATATTACTCTAACTAAGTAATACACTAATTATAGTACTATAATATATGGACCAAACAGGGGTTTAAACCCCAATTAATATATTTAATTATATCTTAAGCATTCACATTAGTGAAGGTGAGGGACATTGCAATTTGTCCCTAAAAGGCAAAGTTTTTTAACAATGCTTTGCTCTAGTGTTCGGGATTGTGCTTTTTATTTTTATTTCTTCATTCTTTTCTAGATTTAGATTTATATTAGTTTTTTGCAAGATTTAAAATTCTAATTATCATTGTGCTTAGATTTGCTCTTTCTTCTGATCTTCATTGCATTCTCTTCCTTTACCATGCCATGTTGTCATCGATCAAGGAGTATCACTTAAGGCTACTAATGTTGCGTCGTTGGATTGAACTTTTGGTACTGTTGCATGTGATTATATTAATGTTGTGCCCATCCTTGGTGTGTTGCTGTCTCTAGCTTTTGTGGGACGTGATTGTCCTATTCTCAACGTTCTACCATCTTTTGTTGATATGGAATGTGATTATGATATTAATTGGCAAGTTATAGTCTAATTCTTGGAGAATGTTTAAGGATCAAGTTTATGGGAAGACAATGTCTACAAGCTCGAGTGGATTCCAGAGTGTAATGATGAGCTTGATTATTATGGAGATAGCTTTGGAGATAAAGTGGAAATTTTGCGGGGTAAGTG